GTGCTTCTGACTCTGATCTGCTTCCTGCAACACAGCTCTACCGGTCAGTGATTCTGATTGATTCCTCTGTTCATATAAACTGTGTTTAGTGTTAAATGTGAGTAAAATGTGAGTTAAATGTGAGTTAAATGTATGTATGTGTGTGTGTTCACAGCTCTAGTCGCAGTACAGGCTTTGTTTCAACAACGATGTTGTCAACGATACAACACCACCATGATTCCTAGAGGGAGGGTGAGACACGTGGCGTCGAGCCCCAGTCACTGTCCAGTCAAGGCAGTTATGTAAGTATATACAGACGATGCATTAGATTATGTTCTCTGTTGTGATTTTGCGTTTTTTGTCTATTAATTTAAAGCTGCAGCAGGTTAAAAATATAAGTTCTTATGAGTCATATTTGCTGTCACTGTATCCTCAAATCAACAATCAGCTGTCTGTCTCGGCTCTGATTGGTTGACTGTCAGGATATAGTGAAAGTTTCTGAGACAAAAATGTATTTTTATATAAGTTACCTCCGGTGTAATATCACAAATTAGAAATACTGTTTTGCAAGCTTTAAGTACAAATATTAGCACAGTATTAAGTCCTTAAAGTACCCAGTGGTGGTTTTCATGATGATTTAGGTAAACTGACAACTTGACAATGTACAGTATTTAAAGGAAACTGTTTACGTTGAGAACAACTGTAAGTTCACACTTTTAAATTAAATAATATTATTATGACAATTATATTTTTGTTATAAGTTAATCTTCAGTTGTTTGCAGACTCTCCATAAGGGGGAGCTGTTCAGTTGTAAATCCAGACCTGGATGGTTCTGTAAAAAGTAAAATTATTAAGGGCTTAACCTCATCTTTTACAACATTTTAGACCATTTAGGATATAGTTACTAATTACTTTGTAGATTTCGGATTTTACATAAAAAAGTGACAAACAATGAAGCATTTAAGAAGAAGATTAATCTAGAAAATGTTTACAAATCAGATAAAATGAGCTCCAGCTGAAGAAACTACAACTTTAGATTTATTCTTATGCATCAGTAAAACAAAATAACTCAATGCAACTTTTTAATAATTCTTGTTATTGTAAAAATAATCTAATAACCTTTCATACAAAATAAACAACAATAAATAACATTTTACAAGACTAAAAATCAATATAGAAACAATAGAACGCAAATAAAATTAATAAATGTTTGTTTTTGTTTTGTTTGTGTTTCTAACTATATATATTTATTATGTGTTTCTCACAGAGTCACAACCACGTGTGATAAGAAGATTTGTATTGATCCCAACACGAAATGGACTCAGAAGCTGCTGTCTGATTTCAAGAAGTCGATAGCCAACAACACGTCTTCATCTCCCCCGTTCAATGTCATAAAGTGCTAAGTGTGAGAAACCTGTTGTATTATAATTTATGTCACTGACATTGTGAGAAAATTTGGTTGTAGTAAAGCTCAAAATGCCTTTTTAAAGACATCAACTAGAGAAAATAAGAGCTGCAACATTATATAATATTTCAAATATGTACAGTTAATTCCTGATTTAATGTTTATTAGACTACAGGAGAATATTTAAACTGTATTATTGTTACACAATCCACTGATCCTTTCTGAATAAAAGCTTTATTGGACTCAGTGTTCTGCTCGCTTTCTTTTGGAGGCCGTGAGTCCAGAGTTCAGTGGAGACAGTGAGCGACCTTCAGTGGGGCTGTTTAATATTTATACTAAATAACAATGTTTATGGAGGAAATGAGCCTCTGCAACGAAACAGATCCTGAGTTGTGGTTGTCATGCAAATATGTGTGCAAATTTTCACATTTCCATAATTATGTAAATGTTGATGTGTGAACTTCTGTGCTGAGTTTCAAGAGTAAAACCTGGCAGAAATACAATAAAACTCTTGTTTATTCTGCTGGTAATAAGTTAATTATCTACTGATAGTGGCTGTAAACTCTTAATAGTTCATTTCACAGGTGAAAAATGTCCTTTTAACCCTTTAAGATCAAGTCCACAGTTATATTGTTCCACTAGTTAACAATTTATGCCAAAGAAATGTACAAAAAATGAATTTCTTTGTATTTTTATATCAAAATCCGATCATTGTGTCTTCCTGTAAAACAAAATGTGACGCATGCTTACGTCAGCATGAATTAGCTGATTTCTACCAATAACTTGGTAAAATTGACTGTTTATCCAGTCTGAAGCCACATTGTTACCATCCACTGTTTAGATCTTGGTGCTTTTTAACTCTAGATTTGAACCGGATGAAGGATTTTAGTCATCGGACGTCTGGATCTTAAGTTATCAGAGAAACAAGCTGAGCTAACGTTAGCAGCAGCTCGGCTCGCAGCCCCTCCGGGACGTCCTTTGTCTGTCCAACAGCGTGGGAGAAGCAGTGATTGTTAAGGTGGAACTGCTTTATTCAGTGTGTTTAAGGGGGAATTTTTTTTAAGGTGTGGAACTGCTTTATTCAGTGTGTTTAGTGGTTTTAATCAGCGGGTCTGTTTGTGTTGGAGAGGAGGAGACCTCTGTGGATCATTGGGCTCCCGGTAGAAACCTCCTGAACCATGAACACTGAAGGAATCCTAACCGGGAGAAGCTGACTGCAATGACGCCAATGGTGGTGAAGACAACAACTCCCATGATCCCACGCTCACAGCATCTCTAAAATTGTACTTTTAAGGTTCAAATACATCCTGAGTAGAGTGTTTTCCAACAGAAACCTCATGTAAAGTATCATCTGACCTTATTTTCTCTTATCTTTACGATGTCGAGGCCACTGTTTCAACACTAATCAACTTATATTTATCGATCACTGCAGACATTTGATGAGGTTATGATTTGTATTTTCCTTCCTAACTTTGTGTTTCAATCGCCGTGAACAGCCGGCGCTGCAGGTTGGAGGAAGAGAAGAGGACAAGTGACTGTTGGACTCTTCAATGTTTCCATTGTTTTGTGGTTTGAGTGAAAGTAATCGTGCCAGCAACAGTGTTTAAAGTACTTCTGTAGAAATAGAAAGAGGCTCTTCAAAACGCTCCATCTGCGTCTTCAAACACAGTCACAACAACAGATGTCGGTGTGAGCGGAGTGATTCTGTTAGAGATAAATGTCGTCTGAATTAAAGTCCAGACTAATAACTGATGTCAGGAAAATATTAAATACAATATCTCATAAGTTAAAGCTGTAATTAATAAACTGAAGTACACAGCATGATAACCACAGTATATATATTTATATATGTTAAAGCCTCTCCTCTAGATCAGTGGTTCTCAAACTGTGGGTCCGGACCCCCTTTAGGGTTCACCAAAGCTTCAGCTCACCATTTTGTTCACATTAAGTCTGTATGATTGTTAAAAAATGATTAAAAAATACATAATACAGGCAGATAATTGTATAAAAAGTTCCCCAAACAGATATAATCTGCTCAAAATTAATCCAGATTACTAATTTAACACAAACTTCTTACAGTATTTGGGTTAATTATAGTATATATGATATTTAGTATATATTGGGTAGTAATCTGTTTTAAACCCTTTGTTCCTGTTCTGTGAGCTGATCTTTTTACCCCCCAGGATGGAGAAGGCATTATATAGTTGTCCAGTTTTCAAGTATCAGGAATACTTCACTCAAGATGTATAATTAGGTCGTTCTCTCACCCGTCTGTTCGTTTTATAACGATCTTCACCGCCTGAAGTCAAGCAGCAGTTAAATGATTAAATGTGCAAAACACTGCTGGCCCATTTTTGGTTGGTGAGCTAAATATGTAAAAGTTCTCTTAACGTTTATTCTTTACTGCACCGACATCTTAAAGAACTCACTTCTCTGAGCACAGGTGAGACTGCCAATGGTTTTACATTATTCCACCGATCTACAGGTGGCGTTAGCAGACAGTGACCCTACGATGAGTCGGGGATTCGTGTCTTTTAATGAGCAGCGATCGATTGATCGATCGATCGATACAGAAGTACGAGTTTCAAACAAGAGAAATGTGTCCGTATTTCTAAATATAGCAACTTCTGTAAATATTTCTGTTAATCTTGTTATTAAAAACAGCTCTGAAGTTTAATTCTGTAGTTTTCTTAAAAATGTGGCAACTTCTCATCGACTCGTATCAGTGATCAATACCTTCCTGTTTAAGCCCAGAGTATGACACATAGAGACTGCGAGCTAGTAAACGCCGACGTAAACAGGTTTCAGACTGAAAATCAGCTTTGTTTGATGTTTTAAGAGGAAGGAAATACTTTCAACACATTTGTTTTCTCTATTGGTTGTTTTTATTTTGTTAATATGGTTTCTGTTATTCACTGACGTTTACTTACTTTTGAGAATATTTTACGAACATTCGTACCAAGATAAGAACAAAACACCTCGTTTTCTGTCCACAAATTAATTGTTAAATGCAGAGAAACATACATTTATTAATTTGAGGAACTTAAAAAATGCATGAATATCAAATAATTACATTATAGTATATGTTTTAGATTTAATAAATAAGTACTATTTCTCCATTGATTCCTATTAAAACTATAAAAACTGTTGGATGTGTTCAGCTTCTTATCATCAATATATCTTATAGATATATAGATATCTTACATTTGAGCTAGTCTAATTGATTTATTTGGTGTGTTTGTTTTTCTATTGATATATTATCATTATATTGATGTCTGTCTATAGCTGGTCAGAGCAGATTTGGATGGTTAAGAATATTTGGTGCATCTCTAATTGACTTCTCTTATATTAAATTAAGAGAAAATTAAGAAAATGTTGCTGCATGTGTTTTAATAACACTGAATAAACATAACCTTAAAAATCAAATCAGTGTATAAAACTCAAATTTAAAGTATACACAGCTCCGATAAGCTGATTGATAATATATGTTTAATCTGAAGGTCAGTTAGCATCAGTTCTGTTTTCACCATAATAATAAATTACATACGTTAACTGAAACTATGACAACTTGTAATGTGGAGCAAACAAACAGTTAAAAAAAATACAAACAAAAGAGTAAAATAGTTTATTTTAATTTTAAAAATGACTGGAAGTTAAACAAACAGCGACTCTAGAGGAGCTACAGGATGACAGAAATCTGCACATTAAAGGATTTAAACATTAAAAGGATTTAAACATTAAAGGAGAGTTAAACACACAAACTGCTGAACGTCATTTTACACATCGATTCCCTCGGAAACTGAGACAGTTGTGCTGTTTAATCTTTCACAGTGTTGAACTTATTGTCCTCTGATAACAACAAAGACACTACAACATCCACAATTTAAGAGTCGGTGACGTGAAAACACATTTATGAGTCGTTTGTTTTAACGTATAAATAATTGTTTTGTCTTGAAATTAAACTAATATTTGTATATGTCCTTATATTTGTTTTGACTTGGCCAAAATTTAAATCACAAAAAAGAAATAATTTGAGTTTTATTAATTTATCTGTAGTGACATCTGTAGTAGTAATGTTGTTGTTCTCCAGCGGGTGCGGTACTACTAACGATGTCTGTACTATTATTTAATGTGTGTAATATCTGTCTGCGGGTACAAGAACAGTTTATTACTTCACTTACAAACAGTTTAACCTGTCCCGGAGTAAAGTTTTAAGGTTACAGGAGTGTTTGTTGTCTGGTTAAAGAGGAATGAGTCCTACAACACAGACATTAGCATTGTTGAACTTCCGGTTCACGTTCCTCAAACACAACAGGCTTTTGGTTAGATGCTTGAAATAATGTCTGCGGTTAACACAAGCTTAAGAGATTTTCAAGTTTATATATATATATATATATATAATACATAAAATGTGTCAGTAAATACCTCAAACGTAGATTTTGTATCTTTTACGGGTCTTAAAATAGGCGGTTGCTAACAAGTGGCTAAAAGTTGTGTTCATTTGTAAAGATTATCTTGTTTGTTCGACACAAAGCTTCTTTAGAGCAATAATTCAAAATCTTCTGCGTTGGTCTACAAGAATACGTCTCTACAACTGGACCCATGAAAGATCTAACACTACCCCTCATTTTCCCGTTAAAATAACATGAATAAAAACGAACGTCTAGCGGGAATCAGTGATAACGTTAACGCAAACCTTACGAGCTTCTTGTTTCTGAATAAAACACAAACGTAAAATGAAAACTCAAAACGTTGGAGGTTGTAAAGGGACAGATGCCAACGGCTAACAGCTAACGTTATGTGAATTCTAGTATCCGAGGTTATGGCGAGAATAATTGCAGTAAGATTATATATTTTATATATTTTCTTACACAAAGAGAATGAAATGAAGCTTTAAACCTGCAGTGTGGAACTTGTGTCTCCTCCTTCATTACCGGAGCTCTGTGATAAACAGGTTTACCTGGCAGTGATACGCTTAATCAGCATTGTGTGAACTTTTTTGGCAAAAGTAAAAGTTAATTTACATGTGAAAGTCTTCACACTTTAAGCAGAGGTTTATTATTTAGTGCTGCAGGTAATGTATTTGCTGATGTGAAAAGAGCTCAATATAACCTGATAGGTACAAGATAGAGTCAGCTTTAAAGGTCCAGTGTGTAACATTTAGTGTATAATCACCTGAATATAAGAATCATTGTGTCTTTGTTACCTTAGAATGAGTTATTATCTACAGATTGTTTCTACTGTAGCCCAGAACAGACGAACCAAACACTGACTCTAGATTACCAACCTGGGAGTCGAGGCTAAGCTAAAGCTAAAGCTTCATTACAGGGGAGTATTCAGTTGGTTGCAATCTGCAGCTTCACCACTAGATGTCACTAAATCCCACACACTGGTCCTTTAAGGGTTAAAGCATGAATCCAGAACAGGAAGTGTAATCCACAATATAACAGTCTAAATGTGCTTATATAGGGTCGAGTATGTTGTCACCATTTTTAACACATAATTACTGAATAAAAGTGTCTGGCTGCTCTCTTCCCGCTCAGAAAGCTGTAGATGGAAGTGTGGACTGATGACTCCTGCGTGGCGACAGGCCGTCGTTATCGTCCTTGGACGCGGACGTGAGCTCATCTGGTGACAACTCGACTTTGGACCAACTCTCCTCCGACTCTGCAGCGATTTCCTCGCCTCTCTCTTCCTTCCACAGCCGCTCGTACTCCTGCTTCAGCTCCTGGTAGGAGCGGGAGAAGGTGTGGAAGATGGACGTGGCGGGGAACGCCATGATGAGGATGCCGCTCAGGATGCTGGTCAGCGCCACTATCTGTCCGGGGATGCTGCGCGGCACCATGTCGCCGTAGCCCACCGTCGTCATGGAGATGATGGCCCACCAGTAGGAGGCCGGGATGCTGCTGAAGCTGTGTTGGGGGTGCGTGGCGGCAAACGGCGCCAGTTCACTCTCCGCTAGGTGGACCAGAGGCGAGAAGAGGGCCACGGCCACGCAGACGAACAGCAGCAGCAGGCCGAACTCCCTAATGCTGCGCTGCATCGTCAGTCCTAAAGTCTGCAGCCCTAGAGAGTGGCGAGCCAACCGCATCACGTACAGGATCCTCAGCGCCCGCAGGAGGCGCAGGATCAGACTCAGCTTGTCCAGGTAGCCTCTGCCGGCACCCATGATGACGTCCTCCTGCGACTCATCTCTGACGTCGACCACCAGGGACACGTAGTACGGAAGGATGGCGATGGCGTCGATGATGTTGAGTGGACCGCGAGCGAAGGCCAGCTTGCTCTGAGCGTTGAAGAATCGCAGCACGAACTCCAAAGTGAACCACGCCACGCAGATCGACTCCACCACAAACATATTGCGACACTTCTGGGAGCACTCGCCCTGCAGACACAGAGACGCACTGTGAGCGCCATCGATCGTAAACACGTAACGTAAAACGTAAACATGACAGAACACATCATACGGTAATGAGAACTTTCACTTTTGATAATTTAACTACATTTTAAAGTAAATTTTAAGTCACACAAACTCAAAAAAAAAAAATTATCACAAAATGAAGTCACTGTCACAACTAAGTTACTCAAAATGTTTCAATGTAATCCAATTCATCACTTTTCTGAGTTAAATTAACTTATCTGGTTTTACAGTCAACCTGTCTTTATTTAATTTTTATTCAGGAAAGATTTGAAATACAATAAAATTGTTAATTTAAACCAGTATGAATATTACTCGTATCAGATAACGTATCAATTATCAATCATCCGTTTGATAATTTGATACTTTGGTGCTCGTGGTTTCTGTAAAATGAACCTAAGCAGCTTAAAACTCACTCAAGCAGGCGACCCGGTGGCCTTTAAGAGGTTTCATACATCCAGATAATTTATATAAAATCTAATTGAGACCTGTGTTTATTTGTCAAAACGTGGAGCCACACCAGGTTAACGGAGCTGGATTCAACATTTTGCACCACTATGACTCTGCAAAGATGCTCTGAAGGCTGCTTTTCTTTCTGTGACTTCAGGTCATCCACAGAGGGGATAAAAATAGTATACTGAGGGACCCAGACAGTCAATATGTGTCAAACACTTCATCACAGGTTGGATAAAGATGTTACTGAGTAAATGACATGTGAGCAGATTGTGTCTGTAGATCGAAGAGAAGCAGTAAAGAGTCTTGTTGATGGTGGAAATAAAGTTTTTACTGCAAAAAAATAAGATTCCACCATAAAACAGCTGTTTTTTGAATGGAGTTTGGTTTGACAGTGTGGAGCAGAGGGTATTTTAACCTTAGCAATTCACATAAATTAAACTTTAAGTGCTATACATGACAAATATAATAAAAAAATAGTGTTAACGCCTTTTAGTCAAAGGATAAGATCATTCATTTTTAATAAGAAGGACACACCGTTTTAAGTCTTTCTGGCACATTTTTGCTCCTCATATGTTGTCAAACTAAAATAAAAACTTTTCTACGTGTTTGATAAAAATTTAAATCAATAGCAGCTGTTCCTTTCAGAAAACACTTTATTGATTTGAACCATTCTTTTTAAAACTTTATGAAGCTGCAACACTAAATTACTGGCGTATCCTATAAAGACATAATATTGATCTTTTTCTGTTATTTTAATACATCAACTGCAGATTTTGGTCAACATTAAAATTCACTACTGATGAATAAAGCTTAAAAACGTTGCAGAATATATCTTTTATTTTAAATGATGTTACAGATATTTAATTAACCTCGTCTCTACCCTTCAGTAAAGTAGGCCACTGAAAGAAACTTTTTTCTAAACTTCACAGCACTTAAATTGATTCATACAGAAACTAAAATAAGTGTTTAAAAAAAAGAGTCTGTTGCGATGTGGAGACATTAAAGTGGGGAAAAAAATCTATTTCCATTTCAGTGTCTTTAAATGACTTAACTATGGCAGAAACAAAGAAAACAATACCCTCTAATGAGGAACCATCACAAACTTAAATTACTACAATTATTTTTTAAATTACACATAATGAGCAGCTTTCTGTTTACTGACAAGAAGTGGTTAAAGGGCAGGATTCATTAAGCGTTCAAATCAATAGTTTTAATCTATAATTCTGTACCACGGGAGATATAACTCCTGGGAATAAGTGAATTATTTGTGAAGGAAGTATTCAGGAAATGAGGGTGAACTTGATCTGAACTTTGTGCCTGCCAACATGTTGATGGCTTTACTGTCTTTATCTGGCTGTTGGCGCTTAAAGCTCACGTCTGTTTCAACATCCAGGCAGCTGAAGAGAAACCGACAGACGTTGAACATGAAAGATAGAAGATATTTACTCAATTGTACAAAACAGTACTGTAGCTGACTTCAGGTATTTCTCTTTGTAAGGTTATTAAACTTAAGGTCAAGGGTCGTAACACAAAAAATACAAAAGTAAAAGTGTAAGAAATTTATTAAACAGCGTTTTTCTGTCGTAGCTTCAACCACAAACTTTAGCATGCCTCGCAAACCTGCAGTAGCACTAACGCCAAGAGTTAGTTAGCGTTATTCCTTATCAGGGTTTCCACTCTTTAAGAACTCATTATCCCAGACTTTACCGAACCATACATTGCTTACAATCGAATTTATTTTATTTAACAGAAAATTAATCTTCTCACCTATTAGCCTAATAAAATAGGATTTACAAATGACCATCTACAGCATTTTCTAAAATAAACTTGACAGCAAAAGTTAGTTTTTTTCTGTTTCCTTTTCGTCTGTTAAACTGGCTTTGAAATATCATAGCGAGCAAATGTTGAGTTTCAAGTTTGATATGTTTTATGATACGTGTTGTTTGTGATAACTAGTCTCTACATTTCCAGGTGTTCCAGGTTTTCCAGGACAGGTGGGGAACTCCACTGCCACTCCTATCTACCCTCTGCAGTCACCTGATTCACCTGAGCTGCCCCGCCCACCTCCCCACCTGCACCTCGTTCCCTGACCAACCGCTCACTACATAAACCAGCCCAGATCATTTGTTTGTCAGTTTGTTCTCCACCTAAATCTAACCGGAATATGTTTGCCTGCCATTGACTCGGTCCATGCCAGAGAGCTCATGTAACTATTTATGTCATTAAGTTCTTGAACTGTTCCTGTCTGCGTTTGGGTCCTATTGTTACTGCCGCAAACCACCAGCCATGACAAGCTTAACATTAGCAAATTAAAATCAAATAAAAGTGTGTTTACTTTTATTAAAAGCTCTGTTTAGGGTTAACACATCCACATCAGAGCTTAAGCTAACGTTTGCTGCTCTGTAGATTTGGCGACGTTTACCGAACACGACTTTATATTTGCTGCATGAGGCCAAATGTTCCAGAAGTTACCAGGTATTTGAATCCTTTTAGTTTCTCTGACAGACAAACTTTCAGCTCCATTTAATTTTGATAAATGTCTATAAATCTGAAGAAAAGCTTGTTAAACCAACATTAATATTCAGATATTTGCCAGAAACACAAAACTAAAAACAAAACTTGTGTCCAGAAATTAAAAGGAATCTTGGCTTTGCTTTTGCCTTTTTGAGCCAAATTAAAAAAAACACATCTCCAGATGTTTGTTCAGTCCAACTCATCAATTACAAAACCATGACAAATTTATTTATTTATATTTTTACACGTCTGAACATGTTTGTGCTTTGATTTGTCTTGATTAGTGCGATTGATCTGCACATACATCGGGGAGAAATCAATCCACCGTCTCCGGCTTGAAAACCTAATCACATAGCCTTGTTCATTCTCTCTGTGCTGATCATTATAATCAATCCTGTTCACTCAGACAAGAATAACAGCAGAAATCTATGATTTCACTGTCAGACAGCACATTACAAACAACCCTGACCCATCTCTACACCCGGATCTACGATCAATTCAGTTGTTCTGATACTTATTAATTAATTGACGGCTTTTATTTTATTGTTGGCGGCGATTATTTTCTCTTCTTTCTTGAAAAAAGCTGGAAAAACAAAATTTTTGTTATCACTGATGAACTTTATTGATCCCATGCAGGGAAATTAAAGAATTCCAATAATTAAGTTTACGCTGATTGTCTGCTCAAATTATTGTTGACTGTCTGTCTCTTGTTTAAAGGACCAGTGTGTTTGGGATTTAGTGGCATCTACAGAAAGGTTGTAAAGTGTGTAGGAGAAACTACGGTGGCCACGAAACTTGCAAAAGGCCCCTAATCGACTTGTGTCGCGTTACAGAAATGTTACTTTGACAAGTTTGCGTAAATATGTTTAAAGTCATGTTTACACATTAACCGATTTCGTTTGGCCACTTACATTCTTATAAAGCTGACTGTGAATGTTAGCATTAGCATTCATTTGCAGGTGCATTTGCTATTCACTGGGGATAACCGACGACACCATTATCTGTATGTATTTAACCAAAATTATCTGTATTCATGTCCGTACCCAGAATGGGCGGGACTAACCAGAAGTTGGTTAATTTAAGTCTGAAATAGATATGGATCGATCAGAAGTTGCTGATCAGAGAACAGCCTCAGAATTTAGCTTCAGAGCAATGTTTCTGATCACAAGAGTAATAAGTAATAAACTGCTGTATTTATGAGTACAGATATTGACACATTTTAATCAGATGATACGCGCAAGAACCGTACCGGACCATACCAGTTTTAGCTGAGTACTCACTCAACCCTTTTAGGTTTTGGTCTCCAACAACGTCTGAGAAAAATATATTTAACTCTGAAGCAACAGATTGTATCACTGTGCCCAAGACAAGTTTACTTTCAGGGACAATAAAGTTTATTCTACTTAGCATGAAGTGTGTTTATCAGAGCCGAGGTTTGGTTTATCATCACTAACCCTTTAACATTACACACTCATTTTCTTGAGAAAATATAAATAAAACAAAGTTTTGGTTAATTTAGTGAAGTGTCACTGAATGCCTCTTTATGCTGTGACGTGCTGAAGTGAAACACTACAAGATGCTGACACTTTGCTGAACTTTCATGTGTGTAAATCCTGTTTAACAGGATCTCATACGCACCCTGGTCTCTTCGTCTCTGAGGTCGGGCATGGTGCTGATGCACAGGCTGATGACGGTGACCAGAACCATGACGACAGAGAGGCAGGCAAAAATCTTCCCAGCCAACCCCGACTGAGGGTTTTCCACCACTTCTCGCAGCATCCAGATAACTCGACGATAGCCCTTTTCGGTATGCGTGGTGCTTTTCTTCAGTATCACCCTCTTCTGCCTCCACTCCTCTTCCTTGCGCTCTCGCTCAGCCACCTCCTCTACACGGGTGATCATACGGCGACGGCAACAGCGCTCCATGTGGCCCGGGTCCACGCCCCAGTAGTCGAGCTCATCGTGCAGCGACACGGCGCACAGTTCCCGAAGCAGACGCAGTTTGCCTGCAGCCAGGAAGTTGAGGATGACCCTGAAGGCTGTCGGGTTTCGGTCGAAGAAGTACTCCTGGCACGTCTCGTCGTAGTCGTCGCAGAGCCGTGCGATCTCCTCGGGCGTGGTGCAGAAGCGGAGGCGTCCCAGACGACTCTGGGGGAACTGCTCCAAGGTGCTCCAGGGGAAGGTGTAGCGGTTTCCCCCGACGTTGATGAGGACCTGCAGGGTGTGGTCGACCACATACGAGGCCTTGCGGTCGCGGAGCAGCTGGGCGCGCTGGAAGTAAACGCCCTTGATGGTTTCAGTCTCCGGGATCTCGGTGAAGAAGCGGTCGAGGCTGCTGTCATCACTGCTGATGGAGTAGGTGCTGAAGTCGTGGTTGGCATTACTGATGATGGGCATGCTGGCTTCAGGATGTGTGACGGGGTGGAAGCAGTATTTGTATGTCCAGCTGACAGGAAGTTATAAGTCAGATCCACAGAGAAGCTGTAGTGAAACACAAAAACAACAAGTCAGTGTTTTGTACATGAACTCCTTTGAAATTGTATTTTTCTTTCAATAAAAAAGATTTTATCTCAGTTGAAAGCCTTGAATTATATACTGACATTTCATATTGAGTACCTCAGGGCTCCATTCTGGGTACAATACTTTTCTTTATGTTACTTTCATTGCTATGCTGATGACACCACACTCTATACATCTGTTTATCCTGACCTGAACCCACCTTGTAAACTGAATTATTAACTGAATGTTTGATCAAAAAAATATTAAGAATTGCAAAACAAAAGTCCTAGTTAATGATTCAAAAGAGCAACAGTTTACTGCTCTCAACACATTACACCCCTGGACAGTAAATTAGGTGTTACTATCGACTTTGAACTTTCCGGCCACATATAAAGATATTAGAAATGTATTTTTGGACTTGCCCCGGACCAGATCCACAGACTCAGCTCATTGTACCAAAACTTGAGCCAATATTACAGCCACAATCCACCTGATAATCATGGTAGAAGCACTAGTATCAAGGAAAAAGACATAATACACAAGTCAGCAACCTCTGTGGGATTTGAAGACATACAGAGCCAAATCACATTATAAAGACACAACGTTATTTAGTTAAATTCAGTTTTATTTGTGTAACGCTAATTCATAACAGAAGTTATCTCAGGACACTTTTCAGCAGTTCTAGACCGTACTCTTTATAACATTGTTTACAGAGACCCAACAGTTCCCACCATGAACAAGCACTTGGCGACAGCGGCAAGGAAAATATTCCTTTTAAGAGGCAGAAACCTTCGAGCAAGCCCTGACTGGTTATAAACCCTTGCCCCTGGAATATCGACAGTAAACCAAAACTCATAAACAAAGAGTAATAATTGACCTCTTTAGCAGTTTGTGGTTTCCTTTAACAAACATCTGTTTAATAATGAAAGTCTGCGTAAAGGCTTTTTGTTGCAGTACTCGAGGCCAACTGGCAACTGGCCTTACATGACACCACTGACAGTATATATAATGGACAGAGCTTCGGGGTCTGTGAATTGTCTTAAACCTGCATTCTATATAACAACCAGCGGGGGGGAGCTCCACTGGTTGCAATAACACACTGATACCATACAGTCTTATGGAGAAATGAGCCGACTTCTCAGTCGATTTATGAGCTCAGTAAACGGTTTCCTGATGAGTTTCTGGTCTCAGTCTCTAGTTTCAGTCTTCTTCCATACAGCAAGATGTTCATTTAGTAAATGATGGTCCTATTTAGAGTAAAACAGACCCTAAAGCACCTCCACTGCCTCCGACAAACTGACGTAGCGACGACCCTAACGAGGGCCTCGAGGGTCCAAACCAATGACTGACGTATTTGGCTCTATATATAATTTTAGAAACAACCTCCTTAACACATCCAAAATGCTCTTTTAATTGTTCAATAATGAGAGATTTGCAATTCACTGGAAAAAAGAGAAAAGATCCTGACACCCCACTTTTAGTCCTGACACCTTTCTGAGTTGGCTTCACACCAATTCACGCCCTCGATTCATGTGACCGTGACGACTCTCACTCGACTGCTGTGTGACCTTTAAAAACTCTGACGGTGTGAACGGCCCGGAGAGGTTACAACGCCGGATCGACCGGCTGAAGAAAGCTTTGACCACAGCCTCTGTTCAGTGGAGAGATTCAAACACGTTTTTAATGGTCACAAGATGATCGTGAAACAACACACTGTGAACACTTTATCATTTACCCTCCGGTATCTAACCACGCTTGGTTTTTTGGTTTTAGTTTTGACCGGTTTATGATGTTTTCACTAGGACTGTTTTCTACAGACATATTCTCTGTGTATTATTGTGACCTTACAGTAACACTGATTCTAGATAGAAATTGTTGTTTTTAGTGTTTGTATATTTCTTTTCTATGGAAGCTCATTTCTATTTTTGAAAATGTTACCTATATAAATTGACATCAGAGTCTGTACAAACTATAAACTGAGATCACCAATAAACTGTAGTGCAGTGGTTCCCAACCTGTGGGTCTGGACCCCAGTAGTCACCTAATGAGGTCATGAGGTCTTCTTGATTTTAAGGAATGCTAGAAAATGTAAAAAATATATACTATATATATATATCTCAGTATTTGGTAAGTTGTCTACTAGGGACAAGAAAACACTGAATTTGTCAAAAAAAAAAGAAGCCTCTGTCTGTATGGTTGTTAAACAATATTTTAAAAGATACAGACAGAGAATTGTATAAAAAGTTCCCTAAACAGGAAATAATCTGCTCAAAATTCATCCAAATCTCTGGTTTTACATAAACTTCCAGCAGTTACTGAGTTCACTGTTTGGGTTCATTGTACAGTTTTTTATATCTATAAAATATGTCACTGAGTCAGTTTATTAAATGATAGAAAAGGGAAAAAGGTTGCAGTCGCTTCCAGAATATAAACACCTTTTTCAAAGTTTCCAACTGGTCTTCAGGGAGGTTGGCAGTTAAAGCTCAGACTCTTAATTAGACTTATTTAGAAAAAGATGTTGCTTCCTTTAAATTAGATTGTTTCAAACGCCACAAAATAAATTCACCTCAATTGTATTAGAGGAGCCAGAAACCTCAGAGGAAACAATTTGCTGGATGCAAGAAAAATATTAGTAATAATGATGATAATAAAACTACTTCTAGGCAAAAAGCTTCAGGCAAATGTGTTCATGCACTTATTGTTTGTATGTTTTGAAGAAACCTTTGGAATTAAACTAATACAATGCTATTGTTACAACCCAGCTCAAACATAAAACCAGGTGTTTAAAGGTAAATCAAAGTTTAAATCACAGAAAATAACCAAAAGAGGATCTGAAGGAGCTGAAACTTTGAAATAAAGGGAAATGTAAAGAGACTTAAATATGTCACACAATCTAATTTACATATAATATGTTATTGTTTTACATTTTCAAGAACATTGTTCTACCATTTTTCTTTATATTACTCCACTACATTTATCTGACAGTTACTTTGCAGGTTAAGATTTTACACACAAAATATATGATGCAGTCTGTAAAATAGATATTTTTATATAAATTAAACTAAAGCTTACACATACTATATCAGTAATCCAATCATGTATCACTCTGAAAACACTCTTTTGCAATATACTTTTGTATTTCTATTTAAGTAAATCTATATTTATGCTGGACTTTTACTATATGGAGTATTTTTGTGGTGTGTTATTGCTACTTAAGAAAAATCTCCATATTTCCATAAATAAATAAGTAAAATCATCTTCTTGTTGTCACATTAGGCAGTTTCTAGGTTTACAGATGTACTTTATTACATATATACTGTGCATATATTAATATTAAATATACACATATAAGAAAATGTTCCACTCAAATACTCCTTAAATTGTCAAATTAATGTCAGCTGCACTGAACTGTATCATAAAATAAAATTGTTGTAATATTTTAGACTCTGCAGTTTTCTTTTGTTTGTTGTTTTTACATTTTAGATTAAATTTGTGCATCATGAATTCTGTAAATCTTGATTTATTGATCAGGATCAGTGCCAATGGAAGGAGAAGTACTCAGCTCAGTGGTTCCCAACCTGAGGGTCGATACCCCCACTAGGGGTCGCCAGAGCTTCACAGGGGGTCCCGAGGGCTTCTAGATTTTAAATGTAAAAAATATACACAGTAGGTCTACAGCTCAACAGTTTGTTTTAAACACAAACTGTGTCTTTCAGCCTCATCCTGCATTAAAACAACCAAAGAGCTCATAGAACAACTGAATTTGTCAAAAGTATATTGAGTAAATATGATTGTTATGATAAAAAGTGATTAAAAATATCAGGAAAACTCAACATTCACTGGAAATAATCTTTACACAAACTTCCTGCAGTTATTGTGTTCACTGTTTGGGTTCATTGTTCAGTTTATCAGCTGTTATTGTTATTATTAAATATAATATGAAGTCAGTTTGCTCAGTGATAGAAAGGCGATTAAGGAAGAAGGAACCACTGCTGTAGAAATACTGTCCTTTATGTAAAAGTACTGATATATATATACTTGTATATTATTGGATTATAATTATTGATGCATCCATGTTGCAGCTGGTAAATGTGGAGCTCATTTTAATTATATATACTGACGGGAAGCTGCTGAATTTCCCCCAGGGATCAATACTTTATTCCAACCGATCAGAATACATCACAGTTATTATTAGCTGATTATATTTTGCATTAAGATATTAATCTAAACCTACAAAGTAACTACAGGTGTTCATTTAATAGTGGAGTAAAATGTGTCTCTGGATGTAGCAGAAAATGGAAAATACTCGAGTAAAGTACCTTAAATTAGTACTCAGTTACTTTCCACCACAGCAGGAGAGTCTCTGATTGATTTAATTGAGCAATTTTCTAATTAACGAGTGTTAAAATTCCATTATAAGATATTATTTATGATAAGAGATAATGTATTCACTCACCTGTGCAGCCTCAGCTCTTTAACATTTCCCCATCTGTTGCTGTAATGAAGCTCCTCACTAATTAATCCATAATTGTTCTTTTTATTATGATTATTATAAATAATAAACTGTAGACAGCAGAAGCAGCAGTAGGAGGAGGAGGAGGAGGAGGAGGAGGAAGAGCAGTGGTGGTATAGTAAATCCAGTCTGAAGTTTGCGGGCTCGGTGTGTGTCTGTGCTGCATCACCGCTCCGCGCTCGGCGGCTCTTCCGGAGTTTGGACCGGATTTAACGGATGAAGGTTCCCGGTTCGTCCGCCGCCGCTGCCGCCGCCGCCGAGGAGTGACTGCGGTTATCAAACGGAGGAGTCCTACTGAAACCTGCTGCTGTCGTTCATCTGTGTTTGACAGCAGGACCATCCTCCTCCTCCTCCTCCTCCTCCTCCCTCCATCCTCTCTCTCTCTCTCTCTGGTTCTACACTGTAAAATGTTTGAGGTTAAAATAACTCAGAATATGATTGGAGGTGAACTTCAAAGGATTTTTGGTTTAAAGTGAGAAAAATAGGAAAACGAGCTGTTTTATGACTATTTATTTATAAATCTTTAGAAACAAGGGAACAAAACAATGAAAAATTGCATATTTTGTTGTTTTTTTTAAAATAAAATTAAAGGTTTTCTGTTTTTTGTTTTAAATATAAAAAATAAAAAAATAGAAACAATATTTTTAAGTGTGTGTTTGATAACAGAAACTGGAAAATGAAAAATCAACCCGTTTTTATGTTTAACGGAAAGCGGAAATATTAAACAAAAAAAATGTTTTTGTTTTTAAAATAACAGTTAATTTAAAAAAAAGACCAGTTTTCTGTTTTTGTTCCATATTTTTAAAAAGTCTTTATAGTCTATTTATAAATATGGTAGATTTATAGATGTTGGTTTTCTCATTTAAAAACGAAAAAGTCCTCTGACTGAAGAAATACTCAGATGTTTTAGATAAAAGTTGGAGTAGGACTAATAAACCTGCAGTAGAAGTAAAACTCATTCAGTGTTGTTTATAATGTAGCTTCTGTTGTTTCACCTGCCTGACTAAAGATTTAACTCACAATTGTATACTGAGCTATATCTCCGTATAACCAATAACATTTCAAATATATTGACATGTATGTTTATTATATGTGAAATAAATAAATAAAACAAATAAACTTGTAAATAAATAAAAAATGAGGACCTGAAGTCGACAGTAGGCTACTTATCAACAGTAGCGACTCATACCTTCTTAGTTTAGTTTAACGTGCAGATGTTTAACAGGTATAATGTTTACTAATGTTTCCTTTATCAGTTTAGCCTGTTAGTGTGATAACATGCTGATGTTTAGGTAGAATGCTAACATTTCTCCCTTTATTAGCACTAAACATGATTAAAATACAAGGCTGAGGCTTCGTTTTGTACGGAAGCATATTGCATTCACTTGAAAAAATGTTTTTCTGTTTTTCAGACTAATTTCTTTCTGAGTTTTGAGCATTTGAAACAATAGACGCATTCATTCCTTTATTGAGAGCTCGATTTAACAGAAACAAACATGAGCGGCTTGTTTAGTTCAATCAAGTTTTACTTTGATCTGGTTTCAGACACTGAGAGATAGTCCCGTCTTTAAGTCATATAGATGGTATTATCATTAGTTTGTCGACTCTACGCAGGAACCTGAGGACTCTGCGGTTGTTCAGAAGGAAAGCTCATTCAGATCTGCTAGACATAGAAATATATACAGAGCAATATACACAGAGCAATATATACAGAGCAATATATACAGAGCAAAATATACAGAGCAAAATATACAGAGCAATATATACAGAGCAATATATACAGAGCAAAATATACAGAGCAATATATACAGAGCAATATATACATAGAAATATATACAGAGCAATATATACAGAGCAATATATACAGAGCAATATATATACAGAGCAATATATACAGAGCAATATACACAGAGCAATATATACAGAGCAATATATACATAGAAATATATACAGAGCAATATATACAGAGCAATATATACAGAGCAATATATACAGAGCAATATATACAGAGCAATATATACAGAGCAATATATACAGAGCAATATACACAGAGCAATATATACAGAGCAATATATACAGAGCAAAATATACAGAGCAATATATACAGAGCAATATATACAGAGCAATATATACAGATCAATATACACAGAGCAATATACACAGAGCAATATATACAGAGCAATATATACAGAGCAATATATACAGAGCATTATATACAGAGCAATATATACAGAGCAATATATACAGAGCAATATATACAGAGCAATATATACAGAGCAATAATATACAGAGCAATATATATACAGAGCAGTATATACAGAGCAATATATACATAGAAATATATACAGAGCATTATATACAGAGCAATATATACAGAGCAATATATACAGAGCATTATATACAGAGCAAAATATACAGAGCAATATATACAGAGCAAAATATACAGAGCAATATATACAGAGCAATATATATACAGAGCAGTATATACAGAGCCATATATATACAGAGCAGTATATACAGAGCAAAATATACAGAGCAATATATACAGAGCAATATACACAGAGCAATATACACAGAGCAATATATACAGAGCATTATATACAGAGCAATATATACAGAGCAATATATACAGAGCAATATACACAGAGCAATATATATACAGAGCAATATATACAGAGCAATATACACAGAGCAATATATACAGAGCAATATACACAGAGCATTATATACAGAGCAATATATACAGAGCAATATACACAGAGCATTATATACAGAGCAATATATACAGAGCAATATATACAGAGCAAAACTGACCCGGTACGGTAGATAGTTGAAGATGTTGTTTTTTTTTCAAGTGAACGCTTCCGTAGTTTTGCAGGTATTTGTTGTGGTGGATAACAAGAGCTACTTTGACTTATTAAAATGTTATAAAAATGTAATAAAATGTACAAAAATGATTGAACTCAAGCAAAGAGAAAATTGTTTCTGTGTATCTGCAGCTCCTGAACACAACATGTTGTTTTTTTTACAGTGCAGAAGCTGCTGGTCTCCAGTTGATCAGGACTCTTCAGTATAAACTGAACTCCACTGAAAAGCCTTTTGTTTAAATGCAGCTAAAGCCTGATTGACAAAGTTTGTGCAGGCTGACATCCAAACACAGAGAGGATTAATAAAAACGGACAGACGATAAAACACAGATCACACACACACACACACACACACACACACACACACACACACACACACACACTATTATGTCATTCATGATTTGCATTGCTGCTTTACAAGAAGCAGGTGGTTGTTTCCGTCCAGATCTAATAACCGAAACATCAGCCGCTGTGACGGTGACATCCTCGCTCTCATTACGTGACCTCTGTAAAATAAATGTTTGGTTTGTGAAACGAGGATTTATGTCCTGCTTATATTTTGCAGCAGAGAGAAGAAGAAGAAGAAGAAGAAGAAGGTGGATTAACGTCACTCATGTGTTTCTGGTGTGTTGTTGTTTGACTAATTGTCGTTAGAAAGGAGCCCGTCGGTGTGCGTTTGCATGAAAACTTTGCCATTCAAATTCAGATGATTTAGTGTTCGGAGAGGATTTATTACATGTTGCTGGAAGCAGAAAAAACATCTTTGTCCTAATTTTGTTTATCTGCCTCATAAAATCTCTTCTGGGCTTAGAAATGTTGATTTACTGCAGATTTTATTTCCCAGGAACTGAACCAGAACTCAAAATAAGTATTTACAGTAAAAATACAGACGTATTATCAGCGACATCCACTGAAAGTATAATAAAAGTAAAATGTGAAATATTATTAATAATACATAATCTTGCCAGCATAACATTAGCTTTCTGGCCTGTAGCATAATGGTTAATGGGAGAGAAAAGAAGGTTAAAAAAAAGTTCTGATAAAACATTTTTATTCTTTTTGTTTTTATGCTTTTATTAAATCTTTATTTTTTGTGAAATATTGAATAATTTTACTTGTTTAGACCTCAAACAGAGAATCTCTAACAACTCATAGACACCTGAAAGTCAACAAGCACTCAATTTCTGCCACTCTCACATCAAAACAATAACACAAAGTTTAATGAGGTGGTGGAGCAGCGTGGGATCATGGGAGTTGTTGTCTTCACCACCATTGGCGTCATTGCAGTCAGCTTCTCCCGGTTAGGATTCCTTCAGTGTTCATGGTTCAGGAGGTTTCTACCGGGAGCCCAATGATCCACAGAGGTCTCCTCCTCTCCAACACAAACAGACCCGCTGATTAAAACCACTAAACACACTGAATAAAGCAGTTCCACCTTAAACACACTGAATAAAGCAGTTCCACCTTAACAATCACTGCTTCTCCCACGCTGTTGGACAGACAAAGGACGTCCCGGAGGGGCTGCGAGCCGAGCTGCTGCTAACGTTAGCTCAGCTTGTTTCTCTGATAACTTAAGATCCAGACGTCCGATGACTAAAATCCTTCATCCGGTTCAAATCTAGAGTTAAAAAGCACCAAGATCTAAACAGTGGATGGTAACAATGTGGCTTCAGACTGGATCAACAGTCAATGTATGACAGCTTCTGGCAGACAACCACAACGCTGACGCAGGCACAAAGGGGATATGACGCCATCGACAGGCGACAGGTGAAACGCAGCGTTACCTGAATAAAATGACAGATTTCTCTGAGTTTGAACTTTGAGAGTTTAAAGAGTTATAGACATTTTAATGTACATATTATAATATATATATAATTACAGCGCACACACTGAAGCACTGTATTTCTGCCTGGATAATAACTAGTTCCTGCTCTCCTCCCTCACCTTTCAGCTCGTTCTCAGGTGTGTAAACGGCTTTAAAGTGACACCCGGCGCTGCGACCACAGAGATTAAAGCTCAGAGGAGACGATCAATGTGTCTGTTCTCCTCTTTAACCGACACAATCCACTTCACGTACACGAGATGAGAGTGATGTAGAATTGTAATGAGCCGACCTTTGACCCCCACCAGGCTGATGAATATCGCGGATTACACGATAATCCACCAGCAGGGAGGGAGGGGAAGACCAGAGAGCATGCTGGGACGCAACGAGCCCGCTGGAGCACGCTGGGAATCAATCACTGCTTCATTAGCAGGTCTGACACCATAAATAAGGATTATCAGAGAATTAAAGGGACAATCCACCATGTTTTTACACATAAAGGTCAGCGGCACTACAGCCCGTGACCTCTGGATGACCTCTGTCATGTCTGATGATGTCACAGTGATGTCATCAAGGTGTGTACGACTTTATTTTATCGTCCTCAGCAGAAAATCTGCGATAAAAACTGTGAACGTAGAGGTTCAAAGTTCATTGTTGACCTTGAAAACAGCAGGAATGATGAACATTAACTGAATTACTCTACAAACATGTGGTGATCTTATAGAATATGATGCTGTAGATTTAACAGTATATCAACTTTAAACACATTAATGCAGCTTCTGGGTCTGTGAAGTGTCTTAAACCTGCATTTACTGTAACAACCAGCAGGGGGCGCTCCACTGGTTGCAATAACACACAGATACCATTCAGTCTTATAGAGAAATGAGTCGACTTCTCAGTTGATTTATTCCCTCAGTAAACAGTTTCCTGATGAGTTTCTGGTCTCAGTCTCTAGTTTCAGTCTTCTTCCATACAGCATGATGTTCATTTAGTAACTGATGGTCCCATTTAGAGTAAAACAGACCATAAAGCAGGGTATGCTTTAGGGCGGGGCTACCTTGTGATTGACAGCTCATTCTCAGTGAGTCCGTCCAGCTCAACGCACCAAACTCAGATCAAACTGTCAAACAGTGCTGATCAGATATGGATCCAGATTCTGTTGCTGGCTCCAATAAATTGTCATGGCGACGACCATAACGTCAAACTGGAGATAAATAAATAAACATATCATTGAGTGTAGTAAAGCATTTACCTTAAAACAAGATAATACAACATGCATATACATTGTAAAATGAAATACACACCTGTTCATTACTTTTATTAGAATATTCCCACTGAGATTACAAGAGGCCACGACAGCAGCACGATGTTTCAGATGGAAGAACAACAGACAAGGACGTAAACATTAATGGCGTCCTCCTCGTCCACGAGTAGACAAACTCTTCCTTTCGTGATACGTAGAAAGAAAATAGTTCCTACATGAAACAACGAGGTCTGTGGATTATCGGAGGAACCGGGTTGGGATATCTGGAAACAGACATGACAGTTTCTCAAACATATATTTTTTGGCGCCACAAGTCGTGTCCCGTCTGTTTCCACCTCCAACGGCCGATATCTTTCTTCCTGGTTGGAGCCGTACGTCCTCTATAAGAAGGAATCATGTTTATTATTTACATTTTGAAGAGTTTGAGAGCAGCGGGAGCCGACGGAGACGGCAGCCTTTCATTTTCATTTTGTTTAGAAACCTTAAGCCTCTTTGGCAACTTAATTTCCTGCCGGTGCGGTGGGGTTACCATGGTTCAATGGAATCTCTCTGGCAGAAGAAATTAAACCAAACTCCTGGGGAATTGCTCTGCTGCTCTCTCAATTTGTGCCGAAGCCACCAGGGGACCCGGTGCAGTGGGGCAACTGATAACTCACCTCTCGATTCAGCACAAACAGTCCTTGTTAATTAACCCCCGCCCTCAAATCCCTCATCAAGTCTCCCAAAGTCTCCTACTTTAAAAAACGCTGCTGAACTTTCATTAATACGGCATGTTGATGCGAGCTTCATTAAGCATTCAGGCTTTGTTTTCTGTCTGTCTCCTGTTTCTCATAATGGAATGAAGGACGAGAGGAAGTCCAATGCGTCGATGGAGGAAACCCTCAGAAAGGAATCAGATTATGTAGGCCAGCACAGGTGTCCTCTTGCAGTTATTGACAAGCTCTCAGCCCCCCCGACTCAGCTTACGGGCCGCTCCACCGATTTTGGATCAACGGCGTCTTAAACATCCCGACTTGGGACAAAGTCTGCAGCTTCAATGTAGCTCTTGTTTAACTGTTTGAGGAAACAACCTTAAACCATTTAACTCAAACAATTTAAGCATGAAATCTGAGTCGAAGCAACTAATTTATTTAAGTTAGTATGAAGTTAGACTCATATGCAGCATTTCTCCAAACTTATTTAAAATGAATGTGAATTTATCTCAATAAAGTCACTTAAATGCATCTTTTTTATACAAATGTTAAGTTGAATTTTCTCAGTTTTCTTCCACTGAAGCAAATTATTACATTAAACAACTGACGTATTTATAATTAATTGATTATCAAAATGTTGTTTTTTTTTTTATGTGACAAACATCAAATCTTTACACTTTAGGGATCATTAAGAATTATTCGGATGCATATTTGGGCTTATGAAAACAAAAATGATAAAATCCTGAGCTATAGAGCATAAAGCTTACATTTTATTACAATTATGTAAAGTCAACTTAAAGAAAATCAGTCAGTGGAACAAAGTTTAATTAATGTGAATGAGTGACTCCAGTTAGGATTACTTTATGTTGACTTCCTTCCTTTCTTAATATGTGTTATTAAAAGGTTTTACAGTGTTGGTACTTCAGTATTCCCATGTTATATTTGTTCCTCGGTCACTGGGGAAGCCCGAGCCGGTGTTTATTCCTGCCAGTCCCGAGTCTCTATAAAGAGCAGAGGGTTGTGTCAGGAAGAGCATCCTGTGTAAAGATGGAAACATGATCCACCTTCAGGGAGCAGCCTATATTACACTATATACTTATACTGGGAAATACTCTACTTATACTCCACTACATTTATCTGACAAGTTACTTTTCAGATTAGGATTTTACATAAAAACATATAAAAGTTTAGGAAATAAAATGCATTTTCAAGTTTTCCTTTAAGGTTTTCTATCATTCAGTAAACTGACAAAGTGAGACAAAGTTTTATGGATATTTCACATTATATTCAATTATTAACAATAATTATACAAAGTAAATGATAAACTATTCCATGAACCCAAATATTAAACACAATAACTGCAGTAACTAAGTTTGTGTAAAACAAGTAATTTCAAGCAGATTATTTCCTTCGAATATTGATCAGAGAGGAACTTTTATACAATTTTCTGTCTGTATTATGTATTTTATTTATATTTTAACAATCATACATAATAATAAACTTAATAGGTGTCTTTTCTGACAAATTCTGTGTTTTCTTCTATTTCCTCTCTGGTTCCTTTAATTATGTACTTTTCTAAAGCAGGACGAGGCTGTTGTGATAATTTAATCATTTAAACTTTTTCATTTAGTTTTCTTCACATAAATGAAATAAATGCTGAGATATAAATCAACTGTGTATGGTTTTTTTTGCAGCCCTTATAATTAAGAAGGCCTTGCGACCCCGTGTGAAGCTTTGACGACCCCTGGTGGCCGCTGGGAACCACTGACCCACGCAGGCGCAGTCGGTCTCCTTCACGATTACGCAGAGTTGTGGCTCTTTGTCACGTTCACATGTCGAGTCTGGAGTTTATTAACAGATCCACCAAAGAGACGTTTCCCCTCTAAACTTCACATGGTTTAATTTCAGTAACTGAGTAAATTTAATTAAAAGAAGGAAACTAATTTCTCGTAATCTGGTGACCCCACCGGCAGACTGAGAACGTCTGGAATAAACTTTTTATAAACTATTTATATTTAATTGATTTGTGTTTTTCTTATGTGACAAACATCAAATCTTTACACTCTGAGGGATCATTAAGAATTATTTGGATGCATAATTGGGGTTATTATGATTAATAAATTTAAATAATTAAAAATTAAGCTATACAACATTTTAATTTTAGAGTTTAATTAATGCAAATGAGAATTAATGAACTTATGTTAACTTCTTTTATTAAAGTAGTCATTTTTTACAGCTTTTCTTCTTCACATTTTCAGACTTTTGTTTTCACTTAATCTTGGCAGCAGTTATTTTATCTTTAATCTCCATAACATTCAGGTTATACAATAATCCACCAGGAATGTGCAGAGCTTCAACCTTCAGCCCACAAACAGCGACAGCCTCGTTCAGTAGATGTCAGTAAAGTGGACAGCGGCGTTATCTCTGTGGAAGAGATGTATGATGGGATAAAGGTGATCTTCTGGGGCAGCGGCGATCTGAAATCTCCCAGAGCTGTCGGAGATAAACGGAGCAGCTCAGAGAACAAGGACAGAATTATACTCATTTTAACATCAAGACTCCTTACAGGAACAGTTTGACATTTTAGGAACTAGAATTATTTGTTTTTTTCCACTTTTTGAGTCAAATGAGTCGATTAATACCACTTTCATGTCAATTAGCTTAGCTTAGCATAAAGACTGGAAGCAGGGGGAAACAGCTAGCCTGTAAGTACGTTCACTCATTAACACATCGTATCTTATTTGTTTAATCTGTACACAAAAAGATATATATATCCCTCCCTCTTTCAGAGCTGTATTATATAAAACTAGATGACCTAATGCACCAACCATGCTCTACTAATATAAAATAAGATGAAAACTTAGCCTTGATACTAAAAAAATTTTCATGTAAAGTCAAAATTATGAGATGAAAAGTAAAAATTTGCACGTTGAGAAGGAGGTAAAATAACGCTTGCACGTTTGGGCAAATTTTTGTCATTTTCAAAGGATCAAAGGATTTTAGCATAACTGTGTTATTTTAGTGTATTTGAATATTTCTACATACTGGGCTCCATAAACAGTGTTGGGATTATATAAATTGGAAATGAAGGAAAGCTGAGACACATATTTATTGTATTTAATGCCACCCGCTGCAACTGTACGAGAAACAAGTCCTGATATCTCATAAAGCTTCTCCTCACTGACTTATAGTTATGTAATATCTGGGAAATGTCAACAAACCAGGAGCGACAATAATCTCTCAAAAGTCTTAATCTCTTTTCTTTAAAGATGTAATCCTCCTCAGACTGTGGCGTCGAATCCGCCTGGTGCAGAACGAGGAGTGGAATAAAGTTGAGTGATTTATGGACGACATAAAGAAACAAGTCTGTTGATGGTATCAGTCGACCTTCATTTCACTGAAATCCACTTTGGATTGTTTTTATTAGTTTTGGTTCCACTGTCATTGTTAATAATTGCTAATCTAATCCCCTGTTTCTCTTATTTTGTTTCCCTCTCCTTTGAGATGGATTTTAGGAAATAACTTATCTGGATATGAAACAACCTTTATAGGGATATGAGATTCTGTTTATATTGCACAGCCCTAATGTGCAGGCTTGGGGAGTAATGGATTACATGTTATTAGGATAAAATAGGAATTATTTAGCAGGATTCCAATTTTAAAATACATCAGTTCTTCCTCTCTTTTCCGTCTCCATCTTATTTTCAAAGTGTTAAATTGTTCTGTTGTCTTATAGAATAAACTAATCAATCATTACTTATTAATATTTCTTTAAACCTGTTTTTATTTGCATTTTAGGTGTTGAGGTAATCCAAAAGTAACGTAAAGTATTCAAGTTATGTTACCTTAACATTTTTTTGACAGGTAATTAGTGACTGTTTCAGTTCCAGAAGTAAAGTGAGTCAGTCAGTAACATCAGTGATGTAGATGTGAATGTTTGAGCATTATGTGATAGTAAAGTGTTTGTAAAGTAAAGAGAAACAAAAGCAGAAGCATGCAGACAGCGACTGGGTTGAGTCCAGGTAAAGCGAAAGTCGGGCCTTTGGCTCGGCTCACGTGCTCCAAACCTGACTCCTGAAATCTTCTTTAAATGTGTATTTTTCTTCCTCTAACTACCAGATTTCTCTCTTCTCCCTGCAGAAAATAAACGAGAGGTTTAAATATCTTTAAAGCACTGTGGAGGGAAGGATCTTACTGCAGAGTGAACACAGTTTTTGTTTTCATCGAGTTGGCAGCGACGTCCTGTTGCCATTTTCTACCCGAACGAGCAGCTGAGAGAGTCAACAGAGAGTTTAACCATCCGTCAACACAGAGAACAAACAAACAGATCAACAGAGCAGAGAGGGGTAAAGTGTTTACATGTTCTCATGTCTGGTTCTGCTTTCTGCCTCACTGTATGTGTATATTGTTGTAGGTTCTCATAGTGCATCCTGTTTAATCTTCAGCTCCCATTAATCAATACCTCAGATTGACCACAGTTTGTTTTCAGAAATACTTTACTGACTGGTTGTGATACAGTTGCATTAAAGAAATGTGAATAATAATAAAGAACGTTAAAAATATGAAGCATTATATTACAATTTACTGTATAACGCTTCATATGTTACTGTTTTGTGTTCAAAGCTGTGAGATAAATATACATTTAAAGGTCCAGCGTGGAGGGTTTAATGGCATCTAGCGACGTAGTTACAGATTGCAGCTCCCTTCGCTTCACCCTGCGACTCCCACACACACACACACACACAAAGGAGAAACTGTGGCGACCACAAAGCGCACAAATAATCCGTAGATTCCGTAGAGAAACGTAGATTTTGGGAAGATCCGCTAACAGAAACACAACGGTTCTTATATTCAGGTGATTTTACACTATTAAAAACATACCTGTGAATATTATTTAACTTGTCTGCCAATAGATCCTCGTCAGTGTTCAGTAGTGGAGGCTGCAGTGTGTGTGTGTGTGTGTGTGTGTGTGTGTGTGTGTGTGTGTGTGTGAAGCTGTTATTTTTGCATCAACACACTGTGAGCCTGAAGCTGAACCATCGAGCTCACACACACTCAGTTCGACAGCTCATTTGTTAAACTCTGGGGAATGATTCGATTTACAGTTCCTCCCCTCCATCTTTTTCGTTCTTCTTGACCTTTTCCTTTCGTGTTTTTCAATCATCAGCAGCAGCAGCAGCAGCAGCTCGTTCTCTCCTCCAACTTCTCTGCTTCACAATTTCCTCTATCGATTTTTGTTTTTCGAGCCCGGCTATAGTCAGGAGAGGGGAGGGAATCAAGGCTAAATACGCTGCTTGTCTCTTTTAACTGGATTTAAAAGAGGAGCAGAAGAAATTGTCTTTGGGTTTCAGCCCCCCTCAGTGGAGCTGATCAGTAAGCAGGTTTATCAATAGTTACAAACCCTGAGCACCTGGTTCTTGATTGGGTTTGTGAGCAGGAAGTCAATGAGGCAACTTTAATCTTCACTTCATTTAGAGCTCAATACAGTCTTAATTAAAGACACTTTAAATCTGTGGCTGCGTCTGAAATCACTCCATTGATCACTCACCATAGTTTACTATAGAGTACATTTATTTGATTAGGCTTTCTGTTATATGGATGGATTAAGACACTATTTCCATCATGGGGATCAATTAAAGTGCATCTTATCTTAATTAAAGTCCAGGTGAAATGATAAATGTCATTTTAACTCTTTAAGATCACATCCTCTGTTATATTGTTCCCCTGTTTAACAATTTATGACAAAAACTTTGTATTTTTACATCAGAATCAAATCAAACTGGATCATATTTTATGGAGAGAATATTGTCTGGTTTTCCCTCTGACGTCCTCCACTAACTGCTAATGTAGCTGCCATTATCGTTAGCAACTGAACAGGGCTCAGCAGCCTCCCAGTGAACACAGAGACAGACAGAGGACAGTTTGAGGACAGTTTGAGGTGATTTATGGAGTTACCTGATGAACTTGTTGCTAAAAGAAGCTGCCTGTCACTAACACTAATGTTAGATGTCGTTAGAAAGTGAATTTCGTCCCGACTCCAGCGGGACTGAAGGAGATTTCCACTTTATCAGGATCAGTCTTCTGGCCAGCAGAGAGCTGAAGGCAATCTCATTGTTTTGGGATACAGAGAAAGAGGTGAAGCACACAGTGAACAGAGCACTGAGAGGGTTATTGGGTCCAGCTCTCGGCCCAAAGTTTTAAAAGTCATTGTTCAGAAGTTAGTGGGTTAGCAGAGTGTTGTAGTTGGTTTAGATATTGAACACAAGACTTTCACATGTAGTGGAGTAATTTTACATACACATTAAACTCAGAAAAATCTAATAATAACAGCACAGCCTGATTGTTTCTATTATAGCAGTGTTTTACCTTTTATTACTGTTATGTTTGTATTTTATTATTCTAAATTCATATTCTTGCAACAAATAAAACCACAAACTTGTGTTGAAATTGTGGGGGGGTCTAAAAAATACATTTCTGGGAGTGATAATAGATAATAAACTAAAACTTAAAAGTCAGTTGTCCAAAATGTCCTCACAACGGTGGTTTGAAACTGCAACAGGTCCTCACAAAGATAGCAATACGAGCGTAACACACACACACACACACACACACACACACAGAAAAACAGGAGAAGGGAAATGTAATTACATCACTCTCTGTCGTCTCCTCTGAAACTGAAACTGGACTCCCTCATGTCTCATGTTGGTGTAACGTGACATTACTGTACTGATGTTAACATGTTAAAGACCGGGTCAGAGTCACATATAAAACACGTTAAATATCAGTTATTTGTTATCAGTTATTTGTAATCTGAAGATCAATAACTGCTGCCACATTTAGCTCCAGTAAATCATGTTTATTATCATTATTATTATTATTATCTTCTTCCTCAGTTTATCCCCGTTGAACTTAAAGGAAACGAGCTGAGAGTTTTCTGGAAACAATAAACAGAATTTAAAACTTAATATTCAGTTTTTCTGCTTGTTTTTATCTATTTTCATCACAAGAATAAAGATTTAAAGAGACTTTCTGACCACCAGAGCTTGAAAAACCAATAATAACGTTTCATTAAAAAAAAGATTATTGAGATGTGACATTTCCTCTGAGTGTTGAGGACTTTCTGAAAACACAGATAAATCTGTCCTTTGATAATATGAGCTGTGAATTTTCTGACTATCCTCACAGATTTTCATGATGCATATTAAACAGCACAACAGTGATGATCTCTGCTTCTCACCCACTTACTCCCTCTTGTGTCCTGTTTCTATTCCTGTAGAGAAGCTCTGAGTCAAATAAAAAAAAAATAAAAAAAAGTCCTTCAGGAACCAAACAGGAAATAAAAAAGGTTGTTTTTTTTTTTTTTTTTACAACAACGATGATGCAGCAGCCTGGAAACCTGACAAACACCTGAAGTACCGACGGGATGCAGCTCCGTTATCCGTCCTGCTGCAGAGGATGTTCATCCACTCGGCTCCCACATGCAGCACTTTGACCTCCTCCGGGTTCACGAACCATCAGAAAATAACTTTCCACCATCGACACAAAGTCCATTAAACAAAAGCAAAATCTCTCACAAACAGCTGCCTCATGTTAGAGAATATTATTATATTTAAGGCTGTTACACAAATACGCTTATTTTATTATATTTTATTGACTTTTTTGCACTACATTCCCGTGTGCCAACTTAAGAAAGGAGCATCTTTATCTTATCATATTGTAATTATTGTATTTTTATTATTCTAAATTTATATTCTTGCAACAAATACACAAACAACGCGTTGAATTTGAAAGAGGGTCTAAAAATTACATTTCTGAGAGTGATATTAGATAATAAACTATGCACATAAATTATATAAAAACTAAAATTTTAAGGTCAGTTGTGTAAAATAAAGAATTTACTTAAGTAAAAGTACTAATACAACAGTAAAAATACTCAGTTACACTCACAATAGTCTGCTTTATGTTACTTATATTATATTTTTTTTATTACATTTTGTTGTTTTTTCTCATATTTTGTTCTATTTTATTGACTTTTTGCACAACTACTACTTGCCTGTGTTTGTATCTGGAGCTGCTGTAGCGAGTGGATGTGAGATCAATGAAGTCTATCTTATGTTATTTTACATGTATAATGTAAAATAACCTGTAACTGTAAATCATCATAAAATTACTGCTTTTTTAAAGAAAATGTCCTTTTTTTCACATAAAATTCGAGTTTAATACAGTTAATACATTTCTAAAATTATGTAACGTATAACTTATAAAATAATATCACATTTCAGACAGTTAAACGTACAACACACTTATTAAATTCTATTTTATTGAATGTTGTTGTATTTTATTATATTTTCTTTACTCTCTGCTGCTGTTCAAAACTGTGAGTTTCCTCTACAGAGGATCAATAAATGAAAGTCTTGTTATTATTGTGTTTTATTATTAGAAATGTATAATTCTTGGGAATCGTGCAACAAATACACATTTTATTAATGTTGAAACTGGTTCTGGAGTGATAATAGCTGAGACAGTATGCTGATGAATGCTGAACATTAACCAGAGAACATTTGTTTGATGACAGTGACTCAGAGTCAGACGCTCTGACGGAGGAGACGAAGAGTTTGATGGCCGCAGGCAGGAATGACTTCTTGTGGCGTTTCTGTGGTTAATCTCGGTGGAGTCCTGTGTTTGTGCAGCTCACGGTGGAGTGGGTGGGAGACATTGTCACTGGCCTTGTGTATAAGTTTGGGTCTGTCGGCGTCCGCTACCCTCAACCTGCTGCCACAGCACACAACAGCAAACTGGAGATTTCACTGGTTTTTACTTTAATTAAATGGTTGGTTTGACTGATAAAATAGTCCTTTTTTTACAGTATTTTTTGGGGCGATTATTGCTGTTTTCTTTTACCTTTGTTATTGTTATTTTTGTATTTTATTATTCTAAATTCATATTCTTGCGACAAATAAACACACAAACATGTTGAGGGTCTAAAAATTACATTTCTAGAAGTGATGATAGATAACAAACTAAAACTTAAAAGTAGGTTGTGTAAAATTAAGGATTTTACCCTGAGGTATTTTTATACTATACTATATATATATATATATATATATATATATATATATATATATATATATATATATATATATATAATATAAATATATATATATATATATATATATATATATATATATATTGTTTTATTTTATTTTTATTATTTTTACTTCAATAAAATATCTGAATACAGGCCCCTCACCTCAACCTCAAAGACAGGACTGTCCAAAATATCCACACAATGCAGAAATGCAGATTCTTGATGTGAACTGACAAAGAATAGATGTTTAATTGTAATTAATATTATGCACAATTTTGTACTTTACTTTCTATTTGTTGGGTTTAATTAATTAAATGGGAGAAACCATGTTGTTTTCCAGTGAATATTAGAAACTTTTTTTTATTGATCAACTTTCAAATATATAAATACTGCAATTCATTATAGAAATATGTCAATACAATAAAAAATAAAATATCATAATGACCCCATATCAACAATAATAAATAAATACACAAACAACAACAAAAGAGAATATAAAAATAACTTTTAAGGTAAAAAAAACAAACAAATAAAATAAAAACAAATAAAACTTTAATTAAATGTTAAAAACTGATTTGAAAGTCGCGTCACTCTCACTACGTCACAAGAACGTTATCACAACCTCTCGCGAGACTTGGTGCAGCTATATATAAACCCCTCCGCGGCCGCCGCGCTCTCTCTTCTCTTTCTCCCGTTACCGGTGAAGGTGCAACAGTAAATCGGTCGTCCCGAGCCCGGGTTCATCCGACACCCTCACCAAGCTGAGCTCAGCCTATACAGCAGCAACATGCCTCCCAAATTCGACCCCAGCGAGATTAAAGTCGGTACGTTGTCACTGTCTCTGGCTAATAAGAGAAGTTTGTTCACAGACAAGATGGAGTCGCTCTGCGCCGGCCCGCTAACGGCGCGAACTAAACGGTAAAAACGGGACACAAAACGCGCCAAGAAAGACAGAAAATGTGCTTATCTGAACCTCTGCATGCTGTAATGTTTTAATCAGGTGGGATTTGATTGATTTGTGGCGGTATTGATGAGGGATTGAATGTCTGTGTCCGAGTCCACGTGGAGCGAGTGCTAGTTAGCTGCTAGGTGGCTAACGTTAGCGAAGGGTTAAATTTATTTAAAGTAAAACTGGTTTTAAACTCTGAACTCTTTATTTTATTAACTCTTCTTCCTTTAATGTTAACATCCTGTTAATGTTTAATGTAATGTATGTAGGTGTTGGGTCCTGCAGTGATCAGATACAGATTATTGATTACTACTATTCTGATCAGTTATTAGAATATTACTAATATTTACACATTAACACTAATATGAACATTTTAGACTTTAATAACTGTTTTATTTAATTATGTTTCTGATACTTTAAGGTTAAAGGATTAAATGAAATTAGGACATACATTTTAAAAGAATAGTTCTTAAGTTGAATTAAATTAATGAGAATTAACTTTATTAATTATTTTCCTTTATATTGTTCCTTTTGTTGCCACGATGGACATAAACTAGTTCTTACATTTTATTGATAATGGGTTTAAAGTCTTATATTTAGCCTTTATTTAACATTAACCTGTTAAAGCTGCTATAAGTGATAATTAAACTGCAGAGAAACTATTATTATTATTATTATTATTAATGTCTTTAAATCAGTTGAAACAACTCTTTATGATTTTATATAATAACTTTATATCCTCCTGTAGACAAGAGCAGGTAAATGTACCTGGATTCAGACTCCCTGCTGTAAACTGAGTTATTGGGATTTAAAATCTGTATTTTAAAGAGTTTCAGTCTTCACTTTAAATATCTGAGGAGCAGAAACAGTTTCCTGAGTGTGCAGGTTGTTTCTAGGGGTTTAAAACTACAGAAATAGTTGTGAGCATAAAGGATAATGGGGAAATATGAAGAGTAACTTAACAGTTAAATGAATGTAAATAAGTTAGATTTGGTTGGAACAGCTGTTGAATATTAAATGTCAATCTGAAGGTCCGACAGCTTTAAAGCAGTGAAACACAAACTGTTCTGGTCCAGAATAATAAAGCACTTTATAGGTGTTAATTATGTAATGAGTTTTCTTTTGCAGTGTTTAAATGTTGCATCCTCTTCCTGGAATGATTCCTAATGTTTTGAGGTGTTAAACTAAAACGCTGTTCGGTCTCTATTTACGTCCCGGCGGCGCTGTGAAGCTGCGTCTGACAACCTGTTTACGCTCAGCTGTCAGTGGGTGTCTGTGAACGTGTACGTGTGAAGAAACTGCATCCAGGGAAGCATTTAAATCGAGTTGTGTGTCGTCTTTGTCTCGCAGTGTACATGAGGTGCACAGGAGGAGAGGTTGGAGCCACCTCCGCCCTCGCCCCCAAAATCGGACCTCTGGGTCTGGTGAGTACGAAGCTTTGTGTGTGTGTGTTGAACGCAGCCTCCCGCCACTATGCCTGTCTGTTAGTGACTGAGTATAATCCAGTGGAGGCTCAGATTGAACCAACTTTAGGAAACAGGTCTGCCCCAAACTAATGGACAACTCTGTGCCGTAAAGTCTGGAACACAAACTGAGAACCCAACGTGACGTTATCCTGATTAACAATGTAATTACTATATTTATAGTGTAAATAATAGTCGCAGCTTCAGGCTGAAGTCATTTAAGTCTGTTTTGTCTTCATTTACTCATCATGTCTTTGTTTTGTCACCAGTCTCCCAAGAAAGTTGGTGACGACATTGCCAAGGCCACCGGTGACTGGAAGGGTCTGAGGATCACCGTGAAGCTGACCATCCAGAACAGACAGGCAGTGGTACGTAATGTGTCTGAAGTTAGGGGCTCAACATCGACAATCTGAACCAATCTGTTGCCTTTATTACGTCCTGAAAGACCTGGAAATAGAGACTAGTTGTCCAGATGTGGAAATAGATTAAAATGACAAAAAATCCTTGAAGATTTAAATTGTTTTAGCTCCTCACTCAGATTACATAAACCTGTCTGTCGATAATCTGCTCACTATGACATTTAAAGTCTGTTTACTGAAATGATTTCTGCTCCCTGCCAGTTGAGAACAGTTGAATCTATAATCTGTAATAGTTAAAGCAGTAAAGCTCTGGTGTGTAATGTCAGGAAGAGTCAGCCGTGTGTTAATGCTGTATTTCCTACAACCACAGCGACTCTCTATGGGACTGTTTGTGACCCACATTGGTACAGACCTAGAGGCTTCACATCAACATGATTTTAATTGTTTTGTGATATAAAATGATGATTCCCACATAATGTTTTTACCTTATCGTGCAGCCTTAGTGAGCACAGAGCAACTGGGTGACGCTAACTATCATGCTTTATGACTAAGACTGATGCTTCTGTGAATAAAAGCTTTCATAAATAAGATTTTAAAGGTAAAATATGGAGTTTCTACACTAGCTGTCTGGGTTTCAGGGTTCAGTCACGAACTGAACGTCTTCAGGATTAAATCTTGTGCAGTCTCTCCCTCCAGCTGGTGCGAATATAAACCCTCAGCTTTGTTTTCCAGGTCGAGGTCGTTCCCTCTGCGTCCGCTCTGATCATCAAGGCTCTGAAGGAGCCTCCTCGTGACAGGAAGAAGGTCAAGAACAGTAAGTGCCTGTGATGTTGTGTGGAAGCAATCTTTTTTCAAGTGTTGAAGTGGATTTACTGAATCTCACCTTGATTTTTCTAACATCTTCAGTCAAGCACAGCGGAAGCGTGACCTTCGATGAGATTGTGGGCGTCGCTCGCGTCATGAGGCATCGCTCCATCGCCAGAGAGCTCTCCGGTAAGAGTCTAAACACCGACCCGGTTTACTGACGGTCTGTGTACCGCGCAGCCTCCCGCCACTATGCCTGTCTGTTAGTGACTGAGTATAATCCAGTGGAGGCTCAGATTGACCCAACTTTAGGAAACAGGTCTGCCCCAAACTAATGGACAACTCTGTGCCGTAAAGTCTGGAACATTTATCAATAAACCAATAAATTGATCCACATCAGTTTAAACTTTAAAGTGTTGGCAGTAATGTTTTTAATCACTTTACGTCCCCTCAGAGCGGTTTAAACTAAATCTGTATATTCTTTAATTTCAGGAACCATCAAAGAGATCCTGGGAACCGCTCAGTCCGTCGGCTGCACCATCGATGGGCGTCCTCCCCATGATGTCATCGATGACATCAACAGCGGCAAGGTTGAGTGTCCGTCTGAGTAAACGGAGGACATCAATAAAAGTTCATAAAAACTAAACCTCTTGTGTTAAACCTTCTGTTCATCCTTTTGTTTCACACAAACACTGAAATCCAAACATTAAAAGACTGCAAACATTAATGAGTGACTGTGTGGATGTGAGCAGTTCTCAGAACAGCCGACTATCTTAATGTTTTATAAGATTACAGAATAAGTCTCTACAGCTGATCAGGTAGTGAGAACTGTAGTTTGTAGTCTCCAGGAGCAGAACTGAAGATAAAAACAGTTAATGTGGGATAAACTGAGAATGGTGTAACTGTAACTTGATGTATTTAAAATAACATTGGGTCATTTTAAGGACTTCTACCATAAAATAACTGAATCTTTGCTAATGATGGAGCCAATAGTTGGTAAAGTTAAAGTTCCATTTAATGAAGCAGTCTTTAAACTGTTGGACCTGAGTTGAACATTAATTGGTATCATTAACGCCTGTTTACCCAACTAGTTCATGTCAAAATGGCTGCTGAGAAAAAGGTTAATTGATTTTAACTGTAATGTGATATTAAAGCACCAGCAGATACTGGTGTCACTGCAGTCTGGGTTAGTTCAGTGTTTCACATCAATCATGATTCAGTTTAACTTTTTATACAAAATATTTATTGAAAATATCCACCAGTCATGTACAATTCTACAAAAGTAAAAATGGTTCAAAAAACCCAACATAAAGAACAAAAGGGCCAATAAACACGAGTGCAGCTATTTCTCTTTTCTCCACCGGGTTTTAAGTAACGTTGATCCAACAGTTCATCACAGACATCGCTGTCTTCTTCTAGGTGTGAAACTGATCTGAGGACGACACTTCAAACGCAGTATTTCTCACATTTTAGCTGTTACAAGCTCAGTGTTTGTTTCAGTCAGAGAGTGTGTGTGTGTGTGTAGGAAAAAGCACATCCATGATCCTAACTTCACACCAGGTTTGTGTTGTCGTACCAGAATCTAGCATCAAATTTCCGTCCAGATTGGTTTCTGTTTTTATTCTTCTGATAAACGAGTCCCTGATCTCAGACTATCTTACACTGTACAAAGTTTAACATTAAAGAACTTCAGTTGGATAATAAAGTGTTTAGTAAGCGTCCTACTGTTGGAACATTTCCCCAAAAACAAAAAGCCCTTTTAATGAGTGGAGGCTGGTCAAACTACAGCCTGTGTTCTCGCTCCCTCCGGTGGCAGACAGACAAACACTAACTACTGCGTATTATTATTTACTGTCAATAAATCCTGTTGTATCAAAAACTGATGAAAAAATACAAAATGAATAGCGATTGTGTTTTCTCTGTGCTACGATTTGATGGAAGACGGCAGCTCATCACAACGTCGCTGCACTGAGAAACCTTGGATGTGTCGATTCGCGGCGGCTCTGAGATGAACGAGCGTCACTTGAACACATCACGTCCAGCCAGCGGTAACCTCGGGAGGTTTCATCGTCCGTCGGTCGCCAGAGCTCCCATCAGTTGTCCACCTCCTCCTCCTCCGCCTCCGCCTCGTTCTCAGCTTCGGGCTCCTCCTCCATGCGCTCCTCTTCCTCCTCCTCTTCCTCCTCTCTGCTCTTATCGTTCTCGGAGTCGTTCTTCTTCTCTTTATCTTTGCGCTTCTGCTCCGACACCTCCTTCTTCCCCTTCTGGCCCTTCTTATACACTGTTGAGGAACACAAACAGCCGCAGTTATATTTTACATCTCGACCTGTTATTCTTCTGTTCATGGCCGATGTAAAGACGACAAACACCGAATATGTTAATGATGATTTAAACCCTGATTGAGGAGGAATTATATCAACTTTTATTTTGTGTCCTTGTGAGCTCGAAAAGATTCACTGACCCTCCAAAGCTTCTCTGAGAGGCTCCAGGAAACGCTCAAACTCCATTTCCTCCATCGCGGCCAAAACGTCTCCTGCGTTCAGAGTTTTCCGCTTCGCTTTCATGGCGAAGTTGTTCGCGCTGAAACGAGACAAACAGAATTTAATGAGTTATCATAAAACAATTCAAACGCTGTGTGAAGTTATAATGAGTCGACTCAGACGCCGTTTGTGTTCAATCGGATTGAATTTCGTGAATCAGCTCTCGACTGAAGTGGGGTTTTTTTTTGTTCTTACCACGACGTCGCATACAACACAAACACACTGGCAGCTTGGGATATGGCTCTCCGGGCTTCCTTCGACACGTTCACCCCGTCTGGGAGCTGTTAGGAAAACAAACGGTGCGGAGGAGTTTTATCTCAGAGCTGCAGTAAAAGAAGCATTTTAATCAGAAAACACAGGCGGGCTGAGAAATAATAAAAAAACTGAGTGATTTACTCAGAAACAATAAGATCTTAACATTAAAGGACAATAACAATAACACCCTGTCACTGTCTTTTATGGATTTCTTTCCTTTTATGGAAACTTTGAACACTTTATTCAACTTTATTCTACAGATATAAAGAAAGTTTTACATTTCTACGTGAGCACCAGTAACTGACAGTAGACTATAGATTAATGGGGTTTACTGTATATGATTGTTTGAACCCAACTGTTCTATCTAAGTAAATAACTATGAAAACAGCAATATAACAGTGTAAGTGAGTGTGCTCACACAGAGATGAACACAGTAAAGACTGAAGATATTCCTGCTGTTTAATCAATTATTAATTAAAAATATTGAATGTAAATCTGAGAATATTGAATGGAAAATGTACTTTATTATACTATATGAGTGGGTTAATGAGGTAGTGTTGGATTTTATTTGCTTTACACTTCCTAAAACATTTAAATTAAACATTATGCCACATAAAAACACACCAATATGTATTATGTTTGTAATTTATAAGCATATTAGGACAAAATAAACCAAACCACTATAAACAAGCATACACAAAAACATATTAATAATAAAATAATTGATTGTTTAGTGAAACTATTATAAAAAATAAAGCATTTAAAAGACGATCAGCATTAAATTTAGTTGCTTTCATGCTTATTTATATTTTAAACTGAATAGTTTTGTGACTTTTACACGTCAGTAAAATGTGCTTTAAAGGCTCAACGATGTAACTGAAACTAACAGCGACTTTATTTACTTATATTCTTAAAAATTATTTTACTTTTTGGTTACTAGACTTTATAAAAGTTGCAATATGTCAAAATAATGTAGTTTTATTTATTAACGTTATATCGTGCAGACCTACTTTCAATAATAAGAAGCCTGTAGAATTAGTAGTATTATTTTAATTGTCACTCTTTTTAATAAGAAATAATTTCTTGATGTTCAGTTTAATTCTTCTTTTAATGATAAAGTGTCTCCGCCATTAATGTTTCACACTCACCGCCTCCTTTATGATGCGGGTGATCACCGCGTTGGGAAGGTTCAGGTCTTCTGGCCTCTCAGCCATCTTAACCACCGTTAAACCGGGTCCTGGCTCCGGGTCCTCGCTCCGGGTCCTCGCTCCGGGTCTCCGCCGCTACCGTTACCGCACCGGCCGCCACAGACTGCGGGAGAGCGCGGTTAGCTCGTGTGGAGCCGCTGAACAAGTGCTAATGCTAATGCTAACCGATCAGCGCCAACTGACAGTGCTGTTAGCCTGAGGAGCTAACAAAAGCTAACGGCTACAGTGCTGCGTTAGCCTGAGGAGCTAACATAAGCTAACGGCTACAGTGCTGCGTTAGCCTGAGGAGCTAACAAAAGCTAACGGCTACAGTGCTGCGTTAGCCTGAGGAGCTAACATAAGCTAACGGCTACAGTGCTGCGTTAGCCTGAGGAGCTAACGGCTACAGTGTTGTGTTAGCCTGAGGAGCTAACTTAAGCTAATGGCTACAGTGTTGTGTTAGCCCGAGGAGCTAACTCAAGCTAACGGCTACAGTGCTACGTTAGCCCGAGGAGCTAACTTAAGCTAACGGCTACAGTGCTACGTTAGCCCGAGGAGCTAACTTAAGCTAACGGCTACAGTGCTACGTTAGCCCGAGGAGCTAACTTAAGCTAACGGCTACAGTGCTACGTTAGCCTGAGGAGCTAACATAAAGTAAGCTGCTAACGTTACCAGCTCGTGCCCGCTGCCGATAGCCGTTGACGTCAGTTATAGGGGAATACGGCGTTATTGATCCGATCGATTGGTTTAATGTGTGTATGGATCAGATTAAGTTCAAACTCTTTGAAGTGCGTGACGCTCGCGTGAACCGACTTTTGTTTTGAGACGTTTCCCGCGAACCGTCCGAGCACGAGCCCTCCTCCGCCAACTTTCAACCTCGACCCCTGACGTAGGCGTGACGTGTGCGAACCGTCACGTCAATAACAGGAAATAAAAACAAAACAAACAAAAATAAATGAACTCGGTATTAATGAACATTTATTTCCACCTGTAACAAAACTTTAAAGATAAATTAGATTAAAACTCGAGTTCAATCTTCTTCTTTTCTTGTTTTCGCTCAGCCTTACATTTATTTCACTTTGCAGCTACAATGTCGAAACAAACAATTCCTCCTTTTATTGTCTTTAATTTATAGACAAACATTTTCTCCTCACAGATATTATTACACAGAGACATATATAATGTATATATATATAATCTCCTTACTGTTGGAGAGGAAGGTTTGGCTGTGTATAAGTTCTCCTGTTAATGTGAGCTGACTGTAGATCTGTTCCTCCTCTAAAGAGAATAATAACTGTGATATAGACGGTGGTTCTAACCTCCATCCAGACCTGGACTGTGGTCTCTACCTTCTAAATATATTTTATAAGGTCCTTTTAAAGGTAACTGAACTCGCTCCAGAAGATTTGTGTCATTTATTTTGGTTTTGTCCCCATTTTTGTTCTTTTTGTAAAGATATTTCTGCTTTTATTTCCCAGTATATTGTTTCTGATTTTACCCTTTTATATAAAAACGTGTTGTTTTTAGTGTTTTCTAACCACTCAACCAAAACAAATCAGTGTTATATCATCAGTTTGATCCTGTTTTACATTGTATTTGGTGTTCAGGTAATCCAGAAGAGTTACATTACTTTAATATATAATAAATAAATAAATACTTGGATTAGGCCACTTTAATAAGTAATTAGTAATTTTATTATTATTACATTTTTAATTTAACCTACCTTACTTACTTAATTGATTAATCAATTAATAATTTAAGCTTCTTGTATAAACTAGTTTAATTTATAACAAAACATATTTATACTCTTTATTTAATGTGCAGAAAACTGTCAGTAAAAGTGTAAAGTTTTATCTTTTAACTGAGCAGCTGGATTAAATAATTAACAACTAAATAAAACAAAATATTTTCTATTCTAAGATAAAAAGCATCATATTCTTTATTTTTCCTTTTTATTTCAAAAATGAATTTAAAAATAATAATAAAGCAAAAAGCGATTTATCTGGTGTTAAATATTACACACAGTACATATATTGATCAGTATCCATTCAGTGCTTTGATTATATATTAATAATGTTTATGGTCGTACTAATGAAGTCTTTTTATTGTTCATTTGAATTAACATAAAATACAATAAACAGAATTAAAAATTAAGTCTAAATATAAAGTGATGATAATCTCTAATAATGTAGAAAGTTTCTCAGGCTTTTTATTGATTTATTGATTCATTTAGTTTTCATTAAACATTTGTAATAATTGTTATAAAAATAATCTAATGTTGTTGATGTACAAACATTTAACTGTTAGATAAAGTCAGATTATCATTGGTATTGAGACAGATCAGCTGAAGGTTGTTTCTCTGTTTCTGTTAACAACGTAACGATGATGATTGAACTCTGTAGTTTACTCTGTCACACATTCACCGTCCTGCTGCCCCGAATACTCTCTACAGCTGGTTCCCAACCTGAGGGTCAGGACCCCCACCAGGGTCGCCAAAGCTTCACAGGGGGGTCACGAGACCTTGATGAATTTAAGGCGTGTAGGAAAACTTTAAAAATATACACAGCAGGTCTCATCACATACATTAGAGCTATAACAAACAAAGAGGTAATAAAACACTGAATGTGTCTAAAAATAATCCTATTAAATCTGTAAAAAATAAATAGAATACATATTACAGAGAGATTATTGCTGCCTCAATGCTAACGCAATCTAAGATAAATAAAAATATAAAATACCGTCTTTACTTTAAAACACTTTTTCCTTAAAGGACCCATTTTTATTATCACCGACTGTCGACCCCTGAATACATTAATATTATATTCAATGTTTAACAATAACAGCAGAGAACAAGATAAACTGTAAACGGTGAACACAATAACTGCAGGACGTTTGTGTAAAACCAGAGATTTGGATGAATATTGATCAGATTATTTCCTGTAAATATTGATTAGAGATGAGTTTTCCTGATAGTTTTAGGAACTTTTCATACCATAATCTGTTGTTTTATGTATTTTATTTACTCTTTACAGACTTAATATGTTCTTTTGTTTTACCAGATTCAGTGTTTTCGTCTCCCTGACACTTGTTCTTTTAGCTCTTTGATTGTTATAACTCTACTTTTTTAATGCAGGACGATGAGATATCCACCTACTGTGAATATTTGCACATTATTTGCAGCGTACGTTTGAATATTACAAACCCTGACCAGGCAGACTTCCAGCTCAGTTCACACCTTCATTACAAACACAGTGGTTAGGGTTTGTTGGTGGGGGGGTTATTTAGGTGGTTTCCATGGCAGCTGGTTTCCTCACACTTGCAGGAGGCGATGCAGCCCACACATTGTGAACCGCTCTGTAGAGTAGTTCTTCTCCGCCCACCAGGTTCAAGCGTCTGTAGCTGTTAGCGGGCAGCGCTCCAGGATGCTAAAGTTTCCTCAGCAATCACTGCTGCATCGTTCCTCCGCTGTGTTCAACAGGTCGCCATCGACAGTGCTGCACTTTAATCACAATATATATATATTAATATATATGGAAATATTAATGCAATTACAAAAATAACCTGTGAATTTACACATCTAATGTAAAATAACATGAAATTACTGTTAATTTAAAGGGAAATTCCTTTTTTCACATACAAAGTAAAAATTACAAATCTAGAATTTGTTTTTTTCAGATATTTACTGTTTATTTAATAGGTCAAACTGTTAAATTCAAGTTAAATACTGTTAATACATTTCTAAAATTCTGTAAAATTAGTGACAATTAACTTAACAAAAAGGTGTTCTGTACTTTAACATGGATTTGTTTGTTAATTGACAGATATCTTATATAATTATGGACATTTGGATAAATGTTGTTTATCAGTGTATAAGCAGGTAAACTGTCAAAATACAGTTTTTATCAGTGAAAACAACAATAATTATTGTAATTTCACAGATAATGACTTTTATTACAGTTCTATAACTTTTAAAATTCCTATCAAAATAAAAAATTTAAATCAGCTACTTTACAAATTATGATTTTTCTAACAACTATTATATAATTATATTGAAATATTACATTTAATTTAATTTTTTTTTATGTAAAAACATTTAATGGTTCCAGCTTCACAATTGTGATAATTTGCTGCTTTTTGCTTTGAAATATTTGAACAATTTTAATGTATTTGTGATATATTTTAGGTTTGGACTGTTGATTCTACAAAATAAGAGCGTGAAGGCGTCACTTTGGGTCATTGTGACGACATTTCTCAAACACTCAGTGAATTAATAGAGAAAAATAATCAGCAGAATAATTTATAATGATACAGAATAGTTACCAATTACAACATTAAAATCCTGCTTTTACATTAATGCATCATAATAATAATCTAATGATATAATATATAGGGTTAGGGTTAGGCTGTTTTTATAACAGTCACAAGGGACATTTTTATACTTTTAATACTTAAAGTACATTTTCCTGATTATACTTTAATATTTTACTTGAGTTATTTTTACAGTGTGGTTTCACAATAATCTATAAATATATATATGTAATATATATAATAATCTATCTGGAGGGACGTCAGGAGGCCCGACGCCATCAGCCTCCATCAGACGGTCAAGGACTAAAGATGAATGAGTCAGTCGACCCCGACAGATGAACTTTGACCCCTGACTTCCTGAATGAACTGACACAGTAACAGCATGTTTAAAGTAACGTTAACAATCATACAAAGTTAATAGGCTTTTTTTTTTTTTTAACAAATTCAGTGTTTGAAATGCTGAGTAGTCTGAGCAGATTATTTCCTGTTTATTGAACTTTTAATAAAACATTTTGTCTGTATTATGAAAGTCTAAAGGAAAGTCTATAAAGTTGTTCATAAATCAGAATATTTAATGGGAGATGTTGATTCTCATCCAGACTTCTCCTCCTCCGGCTCTCAGTGAGTATCTGTTTGGTTCTGATCAATAACAGTCTGATGTACAGTGTTTATAATAACTTCAGTGTTAGATTATAGATCTTTATCAGGCTTTTTTTAAAATGGAAACAGTCAGATAATCAGATCAATAATCAGTATTTGTTAATATAAAAACAGTTGATGTCTCAGATTTATTCATTTATTTCTCCAGTTGTCTGCAGTGCAGCTACACTGGAGGAGGTTGTGGATCAATACCTTGCTCAACGGCTCCGCGGTGGAGTTCTTTCATTTATTTATCCTGAATTAATGCAATAAAAAATACACTGTGGAGTCTTTTTTAAAATGTAATTTAAAGAATGTTATTACTCCCAAAAGTAATTCAGTGAATCTATTGTCAGCTAAAACTTCTAATTTATTGATTTTGATAAAACTTTTAATTAATAAACATTATTTTGATGAATTGTGTCAACGTGGAAAAACTAGTTGGAACAAGTTCATTTTTACGAGTAGCCTCGTCAAGTTAAAAACTTGTGTTTATGCTACCAAATTATTAAATAAATTCATTAAAAATACTTTTGATTAAAATACTCAATTAGTACATTTAATTTCATTAGAAGTCGCCGCAACTCAGAAAGATCAAAGCAAACTGTTGCGTTAACATTTGTTTTTAGAGTACATTTAATTAATTACAAGTCAACCACAAAATATAATAAATACAGTTTATTTTTTGTTACATTTACAGAAAGAAAAACATACAGGAGAAAAAGTTAAAATAAATAAATTAAAGGTCAAAAGGGTGAAAGAAGATCGTCTTTATCTGTCAGCTCAACGTAACAATGTTAATTAAAACAGTAAAAGATTAAAAATTCAAGTGGACTGATATTTTATTTAAATCTTCATCGTTACATAATGTGAAGAACAATCTAATACCGTCTTCTGCAGGGAAACAACCGCCTGTTTACGAGTCTGTACAAGAAAGTGACGAGAGGAGAGATTCAAGTAATAATAATGCCATAAAAGGAAGAAGAAGTCTGGAGATCTCGGTTAGATTTGGATCGACGTTCACTTTTTGTAGCTTGTTTGTTGTTTGCTTGTTGTTTTCTGGCCCTGAACCAAACATATAAATGTCTTTAGTGTCAGAGACACAAACACAGACTCAGTGACCAAAGAGAGGAAGGACGACGCAGGAGGACAGAGTCTGTGGTCACTGAACGACGGGCGAGAGCAGACGCACTTCCTCTAAAGATGTAATAAATATAATAAAATCAGTTTGGAATATATGAAAATTTGATTCACTAATTCCACATTTTTAGTTAAAAGACCATAAAGACACAATATGAGCCTGTATGTCCCAAACAGAGGGACAAATATTAAACTGTCTTTACTGAATGTGATAAATAAATATCTCATATTTACTGTTTACTAGGATGTTCTTGTTGTTTTTGTTCATCTATTTGATGTATTTTATTTAATTAATAGTATCTTTATGAACTGTATTCTTTATCAATTGTATGTTTTTATTCTTTCTTGTTGTTTTTTTTAAAGTTATTTTTGCTTTGGCAATTATTGTATTCATGCCATTAATACAGTGGTTTCTTCATTTTAACTTAAACAAATATACACAATAGGCCTGAATCTGAACATTTCTGTGAAGAGAACTGAATGAAAATGTTAATTATAATAATAATAATAATACATTTAATTTATAGAGCGCTTCTCAAGACACTCAAAGACGTTCACAGGAGTTAAAAACGAAAGAAAAAGGTTAATAAAACAACACACTCAGAAATGAAAGCTATATCAACAACAATCAATAAACAATCATTAAAAGCACGTCACTTTTAAAGTTTAGTGTCAGTGGTTTCCAACCTGTGGGTCAGGACCCCCACGAGGGGACGCCAAAGCTTCACGGGGGGGTCGCGAGGCCTTCTTGATTTTGAAACAAGAAAACTTTTTAAGATTTAAACTTTGAAGACCTGAACACAGCGTCCACTCGTCCTGCATTAAACAAACAACCAAAGAGCTGACAGAACAATGACCAACTGTCCAGAAAACACTGAATTTGTCATAAAAAAAAGAAGCCTTATTAAATATGTTTAATTGTTAAATATAATTAAACATAATAGAGACAAAGAATCGTATAAAAAGTTCCTAAAACTATCAGAAAAACTCAACATTCAGAGGGAATAATCTGCATTTAATATAATATGAAGCATCCATAAGCGGTGTGTCTTATTCAGTTTAGTTCTTGGTTGTTAAAACAAGGTTCCTGTGGTAAACAAAGGTTCTGCTGAGGTTCTGCTGAGGTTCTGCTGAGGTTCTGCTGTCTGCCCACCACCGCTGGATTCTTTAGGAACAGTAAAGAGGTTTGTTTATGCAGCACTACTTTTTGTATACATCCGACAACCACTGCCACAAACCAGCAGATCGATTTCAGACACCGTGTCAACGAAAAGCAACGGAGAGTGGACCGTAACGTCCATTTTTAAAGTTTCACACCGCATCCTCGAGCAGCGCGTCTCAATTCGCTCCCGACGCGCGACAACGACTGCGCATTTATGGGATCTACTTTCTCTTGGATGGCTGTGCTGCGGCTCGCTCTCCCTCTCTCCTGTGCGAGGCCGCCATCTTGAATTTTAATGTTAATTTCTTTTTTTTTATAAAAAATGTGTTTCCTGTGATATATGTCGCGTTCGGGGAGCGGAGCCACTTTGGGATTAGTTGTGAGTGTGTAGTGCGGCGGCGGGCCCCCCCAGAAGAAGCCGCCGGTGAGTATTTAAACGGTGTTTGTTGTGTTTCTGTTGTCGGACTATCAGGACATTTAACGACACCAACGCGACAAAAAACACCTCAAAGCTTCTGATATTTCACTGATAACTATCCGGATCGATACCCGCTGCGAGCCGCTGATCACGCGCCTCTCCTGGTGGCCAGTATCGATCCCTCTCTCGGAGGATATCGGCACTTAAACTAACTCCTAATTCGCGGACGATAAATAGATTTAGCCCCGTGGAGCTAGCTGGTGGCTAACGCTAGGTAGCCGTTAGCTCCGCGCTAGCTCGCTGCAGGTAGGGTTAGCACAACCGTTAGCTTCCCTGCTCACTGTCGACGACATTTAAAAGGCTCTCTGCAGTTATTATTGTTATTATTGAGCTCTGGATCGATTGTTTGGATCGATTGTTGTGTTCTGTTAGCCGGAGCTAAGTTCTGCTGAAGTTAGCATCGGCTGCTAGCTGGCTAGCTACGTTCAGGTTCGATAATTAATCAATTAAACTGATAATAGGAGTTAATCGATGAGTGTGAGCAGCCTGTGAGCTGAGTGTGGATGTGTGACCACTGCCGTGCAGCTTTAGACTCTGTAAAGTCTCTATATTCTACAGCATGGGGCCGGTAAACGGGAGATTGTGTTCCGGTGTTTGGGTTCTATTTTGGGGCTTTGCTGTTAATGTTTGGGCCGGTGGCCGGTGGCTGGTTCCCGGTGGCCGGTGGCTGGTTCCCGGTGGCCGGTGGCTGGTTCCCGGTGGCCGGTGGCTGGTTCCCGGTGGCTGGTTCCCGGTGGCCGGTGGCTGGTTCCCGGTGGCCGGTGGCTGGTTCCCGGTGGCCGGTGGCTGGTTCCCGGTGGCTGGTTCCCGGTGGCCGGTGGCTGGTTCCCGGTGGGTTCCCGGTGGCCGGTGGCTGGTGGCTGGTGGCCGGTGGCTGGTGGCTGGTTCCCGGTGGGTTCCCGGTGGGTTCCCGGTGGCTGGTTCCCGGTGGGTTCCCGGTGGGTTCGCGGCCGGTGGCTGGTGGCTAGTTCCCGGTGGCCGGTGGCTGGTTCCCGGTGGCTGGTTCCCGGTGGGCTCCCGGTGGGCTCCCTCTCTGGGTGGAGAGAGCCGATAGCTGTATCGATAAGTCCTGACAGGAGCTCGGCCTTCCGGGTGTCCCACAGTGTGAGCTAACGTTAGCTCCTCGGATACTGAACACAAACATTTAATGTATCGATCAGAAATTGGATGGTTGCTTTACGACCCAAACTGTAAACATTGGGGTGTGTGTTGTGTGTGTGTGTGTGTGTGTGTGTGTGTGTGTGTGTGTGTGTGTGTGTGTGTGCGGCACTGGACGTGTTTTTATGTGATTACATGATCCATAGATTAATAGAGCTGTACTTTATAAATGTAAATAAATAAATAAATAAATAAATATGTGTGTGAGTGATGGCAGCACAGACGTTACTGTTGTATTGTCAGTGAGTGCATTGTTTGGGGTTGTCACTGGGAGGCGCTGCAGGAGCTTTGTGGACTTCCTGTGTGTCCTGAAGCTCTCTCAGTGTAAACTAAAGAGAACTTTATAAAGTCACACACTTCCACATTATTGAACGACAGACTCCAGTTCGAGAGGAGTTTGTGTGACAGATGTGTCTTATAAAGTCTTTTGTTGTTAAAGTAGGATCAGTGTAAATTACAATCACAGCAACCCTGTTTCTTCCTTTGTTGCTGCAACTTGTGAAAAGTTATTAAAGCTTTGATTCTCTGTCGCAGCCCGCCGGGTCCGGGTCCGGGTCCGGGTCCACAACCTGCTGCCGTAGGTCGGCCTTAAACATAATTAGAGTTTAATATATATATTTATGTTTTATTTATTATTTTATTAATGATGCTTGCAACATTAATTACTGACTGCACTTGTTATTAGTTTTTTATAATAATTTGCACTGTGTTATATTCACTATGTTGTTTACTTCAGCTTGTAATAAACTATTTTAATTATTTATTTATTTATTAGCCGTGCCAGCGATCACTGAGTGAAGCAGCTGTTGGTTTTAATGGTTGTAGAATATTTGCTGAGTGGTCGGTTCCTTCCTTCAGGTTGTTTGGACGAATGAACTGTATCTTCATGTTGTTTGAACAGTCCTGAAAGTGTCTGACTCAGTAGTTGTATCCTGGTGTGTCCTCAGGGGGGAGTTTTGGTTCAATCTCATGTTTATGTTTTGAGATGTTCTCTTATGATCGCGACCACGATGCAGTTTAGTGTTCGGTGTGAACGGGGAAAATCCTAATTCACTGGGAAAAGTTTAATCTCTGATCTTTACCGTCTTTAAGCAGCACACCTCCTGTCTGACCCATGTTGCTTTCACATCTCTTCAGTCTGTGTAAACTAAATAAATTCCCCTGCTGTGCGTCTCGTAATGTTTCTGCTCTGCCTTCAGGTTTCAAACTCTAGACCCCAGTCTTCCCCACTCGAGAGCGTTTCTTCATCTCAGAGACTAAATGCAACTGGACCAGGGGGCTTGTGGGCATGAAGTGGCTGGGCGAATCCAAGAACATGGTATTAAATGGCAGACGACACGGAAACAAGTTGACCAGCGAACAACCGGTGAGCCAGAGCCAGACCCGCTCTCAGCACTCACAGCGGGCGTCCCTGCGCCACAACAAAAACAGAAACCGAAGATGTAGCCGCAGTAAGTTGAGCGTGTTTAATGCGATCGAAGGTGCAGATTCTTCGTCGGTCTCGCGCACACTAACGCCGGTCTGTGTTTTTCAGGGTTTAACGCAGCCAGTCTGGAGGCAGAGCGGCGATATGTGCCCTCCTCTGGAATGACTGCCAAGGAGTTGTGTGAGAATGACGATCTGACCACGAGCCTCATCCTGGATCCATACCTGGGCTTTCAAACTCATAAAATGAACACCAGGTCAGCGGATTGATGATCGTGAAGCTTCTCTGTAGTCATATAAAATACATTTGTGTTCGCTTTGCACCATTAACGTGCCCTCCCTCCCTCCACTCGCAGATTTCGACCAATTAAGGGAAGACAAGAAGAGCTGAAGGAGATCATCGAGCGCTTCAAGAAACACGACAACTTGGAGAAAGCTTTCAGAGCTCTGACCTCCGGAGACTGGTCCCGAAATCTTTTTCTCCACAAGACGAAAGCCCAAGAAAAGCTTTTCAAGCAGCATGTAAAAAAAAAAACAAACGCATATTATCTGTTTATCTTCCAGCATCACAGTTAAACAGTCGAGTGACTAACTTTATGTTTCGCACAGGTGTTTGTGTATCTGCGGATGTTTGCCACGGACAGCGGGTTTGAGATTCTCCCGTGTAATCGCTATTCATCTGAGCAAAACGGAGCTAAAATTGTGGCAACAAAGGAATGGTGAGGGCATAATACCATCTGTTACACCACCAGTCAGCACACTACGCTCCTCAGCCCTCACCTAGTGCATACATTTAACTGTTCTTTAACTTTATCTGTGTTTGAACTGCTCTGTTGATGGGTTTGATGCACAAATATTAACACACAGGCTGATGTGGATACACAGAAAGCTGCGCAGGAGCCATGTATTGATTTGTGTAGTGTTCCTCCGAAGCCACAGGGGGCGTTATTATATTGTAAAAGTTGAGTTTGTGTCTTCGTATCACAGGTGTTCACAAGAGTAAACAGTTCCAGATAACGTGTCTTAACGGAGATAAGTAAACGTATCAGTAAAGAACCTACAGGTTGCGTTACCTTGTGTCAGTGTGTAATCAGTCCCTCAAGGATTTCACTGGCTGTTTTTGGGATTGTTACGGGTTAAAATGCCTGATTTCACAGCCGCTTTTCTAAAAAATTGCAATGTTTTTATACATTTTTGTATCTAAATTAGTGGGAGAAACTGAAAATTGCAGAAAATTATATGACTTTTTTTTGTATAGTTAATTAAAAATCGAAGGCAACTTGTTCCAGTGAGAATAAAATGGCCTGTAGTTTGGGGACACACGGCTTAACGTGGGAAACCACAATGACATTCAAATTTGAGGAAAAGTTTTCTAATTAATTAACTCAATTACTGAAAATACCCGGAAATAGCAGACAATGGCATCAGACCGTATCCTCATCACACAACATCACGGTGGCCGAGACGGTTCAGTTCGTTCATCAAATAATTATTGATCAGCTATGTTAACTTTACATCCGTGTGAGTCTCAACCTACTAACTAAGATTCTAAGTGTATCTTACAGGGAGGAAGCTACTTGTTGCTGATTGTTGATAAATTAAACATTAAAATAAGATATCTGACAGCTGTGTGCAATAATAAGAGAATTTAAGCAACAGCGGCAGGGATTTTACAGACGGGTTTTCGGGGGCGTTGGTTGGATTTGAACTTCTCGGAGGGACTGAATAACAAACCTTTCTACCTCGTGTTGTTCCTCAGGAAAAGAAACGATAAGATCGAGTACCTGGTGGGATGCATCGCCGAGCTCTCGGAGAGCGAGGAGAACATGTTGCTCCGGCACGGCGAGAACGACTTCAGTGTCATGTATTCAACCCGCAAGAACTGCGCGCAGCTCTGGTTGGGACCAGCTGCGTTCATCAATCACGGTATTATTAGTCCTCGTAGTCTCCAGTGATTGGGTGTCATTAGTACGTTCACAACATAATAAGAGTTCAGTATATAAGGATATTAATTCTTTATTTGGTCTCTTCTTTTCTCAGATTGTCGGCCAAACTGCAAGGTAGGTTCTTAAACAAGGAAGACATCGTTGAATCAGTTGCTGTTCAATGTGGCGGTTCAGTAAATTAACTTTTATTTCTGTATTATGTTTTGTTCAGTTTGTGTCGACGGGGCGGGACACGGCCTGTGTGAAGGTTTTGAGGGACATTGAACCAGGAGAAGAGATCTCGTGTTACTACGGAGATGGGTTCTTCGGGGAAAACAATGAGTTTTGTGAATGCTATACATGTGAACGGTGGGTAAAACAACATGTAGGCAAAAAAAGGCACACAATTAATTAGAATATCATCCAAATCGCAAAAAGCTGCAGTATTTTGATAAAGTTATGACAAACAGCGTTATAATAAAGTACTGCAGAGATTCCCTGGTCTACAGATGTAAGAAAACATGTTTGGTTGGTTCAGAGCCCCAAAAATGTAATTTTGAATAGTTTTTTCAGTCAAAATAATGAATATTAATGCAGAAATTACCGCTCCTGCTCATCTCGAATCATATCAACCATATTGTGCAGCCCTGTAACAGTGTTATAGGTTACTTTATACACATTATTCCCTCACAAGCGAAGTTATTAACTACCACTGACTGCAGACTCAGTGTTCCAGTGACTCTTTACCTTTTTTTTCCTGTGTTTTTGTCATCGTCGTCGGGCAGACGGGGCACTGGTGCTTTCAAATCCAAAGCCGGACTGCCAGTGGAGGTGCCGGTGATCAACAGCAAGTACGGGTTACGGGAGACGGACAAGCGTCTCAACAGGCTGAAGAAGTTGGGGGAAGGAAACCGGAGCTCAGACAGCCACTCTGTAGGCTCCCACACCGACGTAGACTCTCAGGAAATGCCAAAAACACATCAATGTAAGAGCTACCCCCTTAAAAAGTGTAATCCGTCTCCTCGTGGGGAGCAGAGAGAAATCCCAGTGTGGCCGTACAGCTGTGTGTAGATTTAAAGGTCCAGTGTGTAACATTTAGGAGGATTGTTCAACGGCCATGTCTCTACAAACTAGACACCGGCTCTGGATGGTTGCGATCTGCAGCTGCACCACTAGATGGCACTAAATCCTACAGACTGGACCTTTAATACTGGGCAGTGATGAACAATCAGTGTCTTTATTTTTCTTACAATCATGATGATGTGTGTGAATATTTGCTAATATTTCTTGATTGCACCATCAGTCGTTCTCAGTAAAGTTTAAATCCAGTTATCTGAATATTCAGTCTTTTTTAATATGTCTTAAATATGATTTTTCTTTTATTGTTTTGGGGGTAAAATGTTGTATTGATCACGCTGTAACTACAAAGTGAAACCAACATGAAATCAATACCAATTTTCCTTCATATCCTTTGTACTTTTTGTGCCAGTATGGATGTAAAATAGATTTAAATTTGACTCATAATGGATTTAAAGCTTGTAAACATCCACTCAGGTGTTTTCAGTTATTCTCACTGATTATTCCTCAGCTCAGGTTGAAGTTGGAGCTTTAATGGGAATTTAAGTCACAGAAGTGTAATTTGTCTCTAACAGGAGACTCAGGAGAAAGTCTACACGCCGACACAGAGGAGATCTAAACAGATTAACTGAAAACACCTGTTGGGCTGTAAAGATGCTTTAAAAACTCTTAAACTTAACCTGCAGAAACCCTGTATCATCATTATTATTATTATTATTATTTCTGTAGTTAGCATATTTAAAATATATTTGATTCTGTCACCCTGCCAACATTTGTGTGTGTGAGAGTTTTATAAAATGTTATTAACACATAATGTGCAACTTTTGATCTTCTTCCCACCAGCTGCCAGAAAAAGAACATCATCATCTGGCCTGAAGTATAAAAACAGGACTCAATCCAGACAGACTTTGTCGAGAGCCCTTACTACCTCATGTTCAAAACAAGGTCGTGTAAACAATAACAGGGTACCAAAGAGACTAAAATCCCAATCCAAGCCTTCACTAAGTAAAGTCCAGTTGCGGAGTCGCAGGCGGGGTGCAGAGCCCAAGGCATTGGCCAAAGGAGAGACTTGCCAGCTGGGTCTCAGGGACTCAAAGGTGTCGCTGTGTAAAAGTGTCACCGTCAAGAAGGAGAAGGACGGACAGGAGCTGGTGCAGCAGACACTAGGCCAGCGGGGCTGCCTCACCCGTCACGCTGCCAAGGAGAACGGCAATCTACCGCACGTGCAAAGCAGCGAGGGCAGCCAGTGTTCGACGTACAGAACTCGCAGGTCCACACGGACCCTCGTTAAAGCGCAGGAAACGGCAGCTGGCGTTAAGCTGGAGCCCAGCGCCATGGACGGCTTGAGCCCAGTCCCTGGTGGAGTGGTCATTAAAACGGAGCCGGCTGACATGGAGGAGTACCTCGGTCACGGGGTCGGACTGGAGCAGCCGGCATTAGACGGCGGCTACAGCAGAAGAAGCTCGTGCACCAGGCGGAAACGGCTGACACGGCTTAGAACCGAGCGGACGATTAAACGCGAGGACTCGTACGGCGAGCCGTTCATGCCCGTGGCTGCTGGCCACACCACTAACTTCTCAGACTGCGGTAATGTGCTGTTGAGCTTCGCCGACCGGCACAGGGACTACAACGGGGTGGCCAACGGCAGCAAGTCCCTCCGCAGGGACAAGGGGAAGAGCAGCTGCCGGTCGCAGGAAAAGGGGAAGAAGAAGCGCCGGATCACGCGATACGACGCTCAGCTGATCCTGGAGAACAACACGGGCATCCCGAAACTGACGCTCCGCCGGCGGAGGGACAGCAGCAGTAGCAAGACCAATGACGCCAACGACCCCATTGGCTCCTCCAACCTTTCTGCCTCGACGGTCAACTCGGCCTCTTCCAGCAAAATCAGCATCAAGTTCAGCAAGGACCACGATAAGGACAAAGGCAGCTCGTACATCGCCAAACTGAACAACGGCTTCGCCCCGGTGGTGCACAGCAACTCCACCAAGCTGAAGATCCAGCTGAAGAGGGAGGACGACGCACGGAGGATATCGCAGACGAAGGCGGACCAGATGTCCTATAACGGGGACATGGGTCAGAGCCTGGAGGCCAGAAACGGTGGACATCGGACCCAAAAGGTCCTGGCAGAACCTTCGTCTGAGGAGGACGAAGACGAGGAAGGGGAGGAGGACGAGGACGACGACGACGATGATGACGACGACGACGACGACGATGACTACTTCGACAATGAGTTCGAAGACGATTTCATTCCACTTCCTCCAGCAAAGCGCCTCCGACTCATCGTGGGTAAAGACTCCATAGACATCGATATCTCCTCCAGGAGGAGAGAGGATCAGTCTCTGAGGCTCAATGCATAAGCTGTGGAGCTCATCACTCCCAACCTTCCCCCTGTAAATAAAGATGACTCGCTAATCAACTGTTGTGTTGATGTAAAAGAAGTACAGTAATTTAAAAACAAACACAAAAAAAATTGCTGAAAAATTAAGAATCTGAATGAAAGTTGCTAGAGGAAGCGGTCGGCCTGAAACAGATCTGTGTTCTTCACTTAATTTGAGTTCTTTTATAAATACAAATTACATTAATTGAGCAGAAGTTTACTCACCCAGTACGTTTCTCTGGCATTTTATCTGCCTACTTATGCGAATTGTAAACTTATTCTTTCTGAATAATCTGGCCGGATCGCGAGTGAAAAACGAGACTCTGTTTCAGGTCGAACTCTTCCTCTCAGTGAATGCACTTATATTCATAATGGACATGGATATTGTAGAAAGTGTACAGTATGGTGACTACCCCCTCTGTCTCATAGGCAGGTTTTTATTGAACTTTTTTGATTTATTCTTTTATTTTTTTTTGTCTCATAGTTTGTAATTCTTTGTGTGGCAAAACAACAAACAACAAACCCCACGCTGAGCGTTAGGGCGTGGTGTGGTTGGTCCAGAGGCATTATAAGATCAGTCAGTTCATGTGGATTCAGGTGCCATGTTCTCGTTATCAGCAGTCTTTGTCAGTCTCTCTGGCAGCAACGTGAACCAGGAAATGTTCAGTTTTATGTTTTTGTTATGAAGTGAAGAGCAAAGGGTTCTCCTGCATGTGGAAACGGCTGATTACTACTAATAATTAGCATCAATAATCAATGTTTCAGCGACTGCTTGGTCAGTTTGGACAGTACTGAAATGGTTTTGGGGGTTATTGAGGATCCTGAATCCATTTTTGATGTTGTCAAAGTACAAACTAGCCTCATTTTAAATCCCGGGGGGCTGATTCTGATTTATTTTGAGGTCATTTATATGTTTAATACTTTAAACATTCACACCGATGACCTCTTTAATTCCTAAATGCAGGTCCAAAGTTAATATTTGTTCTGATTTCATCAGTTCTGCTGGAGGTTTTCTTGCTGTGCAGCATTGACCTGTGTGTTTGGTTCTGTATTAAACATAAATAACCTCAAAATGAATCTAAATCAGCCCACTGGGAGTTGAAATAAGGCCTCTTCAGGTTTAAACAGCCATTTTGAAGACATCAGAAATGCCTTCAGCTTCCTCAATAACCACAGAAACCCATCCAGTAGTGTCCAGAGCGTCTAAGCAGTCGCTGAATTATTGCCCATATATGTGACTATGCTAATTAATGCTAATTAACACCCTGCAGTTTCTATATTCTGGGGACCCACGCTCTACATCTCTAACATAAAACATCTCCAGGTCCACAGTCGGGCTCTGCTGGCTGCCGGTTTTTAAAGAACCACTTTAATTTCAGTGACTTATTAATCATCAGCGTTAATTACTGTGTAAGAGTCTCTCTCTCTCTCTCTCTCTCTCTCTCTCGTTCAGTCACACCGATCATGTTATTCATCGAGCATCAGTAGAAAGAGTTTGTTGAAGCAGAATTTACAGTTTTATGTATATTATGGATTTAACAAGTTAACCGTCGCACACAGAAACTCGTAACGATAACAACAATATGCATGTTGGAACTACAGAGTTCGGTTTGCCTGCAGACGTCACACCTTCATAATCACCCCCCCCGCAGAGAGCGCTGTAAATACATTAAAGTTAATTACGCTGCAGGAGTTCCAAGAAATGAAAAAGCACACGAGGTTTTTATAATCAGCTCAAACAGTTTAAGTTCCTGAAGCTGCTGTTTAATGTTAACGTGGCACCTGAAGTCCGACCCCCTTCCAACAACTGAGAACTCAAACCAAACCCCGACTTATTGATGCTACCTATACGCTTCTTCATCCTGAGGTAATGTACAGAAAGACTGGCTCAATTATGACCTTTTTTATTTCCTCTCAAGTCCAGTTTTTTTTATTTTTTTTTATTTACTGAATCTGATTTTTGTTTTGGAAGCAAGTTAAGAAAAGTCCATCGACACTAGAGTTTGAGGAGGAGAATCACGTCGTCTGAAATGTTCTTGCTAGCTTAGGATCATGTATTCTTTTTCTCTATGGTGCTACTTTTATTTCTTTTACCATCTGTTTGAATTTATGTCCTGTGTGTTATTGGTGGATGGTGGCAGCATTAACTCCCAACAGGCCCCCAGATTCTGTATAAATTACACACTTTATGTCAGTAATTGTTTTTATCTGTAGCCGGTTTAAGTTGTTTTTCTCTCCAGGACCTCACACACTATGTTTGTTTGTACAGTGATTTACTGTCGACGCTGTGGAAAAAGAAGTTGAGAAAACTCCGAATTTCAAGTTGTTTTAAATAAACTAATAATTTACTGATTTAATGATAATTTACTTTTCTTTCTTTAGAGAATAACTTAACTGAGTCTTCAATATATTTAAAAAGTGTGAAATATTTCCTGTTTTCAGTCTCAACTATTAAAGTTTATAAACTATTTAAAACAGCCAAATAATCAATAATCAGGTTGATTTTGAATTACAGATTTGTTTTGTTTCTAAAACTTAAAGATCTAAGTTTTTCTAAAGAAGAAAATTAAATTATCTCCACAAAATAGATTGAATAAATTTTATTTTAGTTTATTTTAAAACTTGAAAGTTCGAGTTGAATCTTTTTAAGTTTTGGAAACAAAAATCTGTTTTTGAAAAATTGTTTAAACTCTTTAAAGTGAACAAAACTTAATAAATTAATATTTTTATTTGCAATTATTTAATTTTCAAGCACCAAAATAATGAAAATTGGCTCTGAACAATTAATTTTTTTTTTTTTCAAAGTTTATTTCAAAACTTTAAATGTCATGAATAAACTTAAAAATATCATAAACAGTTAAAATTCAGAGTCTTCTCAACTTCTCTGTGTGGTTTGTTTTACAGTGTAACAGCATTAGGTGCCTTAAAGGAAAAAAAAAAAGCTTTTTGACACATTTTGACCAAATTTGTTTGCGGGATTAATCGATGAAGAGTTTAAAAACAAAATGCTAACGCCATCATCTGCTTCCCCTTCTTCGTGATACAGAAACACTTTCAACCGTCAGTCCTTCTGTATATTATTTTATTTCTGTTGTGTGGAAGTAAAGTGAACTGTCCAACAGATCAAGGGATCAACTGAGATTGAATGTTAACCCACGTTTCCTGTGTTAATATGTACTGTTCATATCACCAGCAGCTAATCGCCGTTCTGAAACCTGGCTCAGTCTGTCCTTCCCCCTTCGTCGGACGTCTCCATCCTTACACTGTAAACTGTTCCAGGTTGTACCGTCTGTGTGGTCTTTGTCCAATAGACAGCTGTCAAAGATTTCCAATTGATTCAAAAAGTAAAAGAGGAAAAAAAAAGCAACAAAAAAAAACCTACAAAAAAAAAAAAAGCAAAACAAATGTGAATAGTTTGCGGACATTTTAGCGTGTTGCGTGGGTAGTGGGAAACATGTAAAGAGAATTAAAAATGGGCAGTGTGTATATTGTCCAATATGTAAATCATGTGAACACATCTTGTACTTATTTAACAGTTTTGAATACTTGAAAACTATATAAAGTTTCTTTGTGACTCTTGTTTCCTGAGCCTGTTTTAAAGGTCGGCTGCTTTGGTTTCTGTCTTCAGTGCAAATAAAAATATATATATTCTATATTTTTACTAAAAACAAATGAACCAGAACCAACAGTGTAAATCTGTAACAACAGCTCATAAATATATAGTTTTAGTTTTAAAATAGGCTCAATAATTTAGTTTTTATTAAACGTTACTCAAACAGGACGAAGTGGTGCATTTCTCTGGGACTATTTTCAGCGGCGGATTAATCCACATTTGGTGCTTTAGTGGGTATTTGGGGCAGAAGGACGGTGAATGTGGGACCGAGTCAAAATAAACTACAGTCAGTCTCCAGGAAGTCACAGCAATTAATTTGGTCCAATCACAGAAACTTTTAACCAAACATTGGAACAAGTTCCATTAAATATTTATATTTCCTCCAATTTCATTGCAAGAAAAAAGCCTAAAATCATCAACATGCACCAGGTTTCTTTTACCTAAGTTGCAGTGAAATCAACTAAACTATAAGACTATAAATGAAAGTGTATACACTGCAATACTCAAGTTATTAATGGTGTGCAAATATTTGGGCAGCTTTACTAAAAACTAAACTACATGTAGAAATTAAATATAAATAGTTGCAAAAAGTTTGTGATTGTAGGTGAGAGTTGAAACCAGTCTTAGTCTGTGGGGGTTGGAGGTACTGGGTGCTGTGGTTGTCGGGGTTAGAGGTACTGGGTGCTGTGGTTGGAGGTACTGGGTGCTGTGGTTGTGGGGGTTGGAGGTACTGGGTGCTGTGGTTGTGGGGGTTGGAGGTACTGGGTGCTGTGGTTGTGGAGGTTGGAGGTACTGGGTGCTGTGGTTGTGAGGTACTGGGTGCTGTGGCATTGTGGAGTCTGATGGCTGATGGTACAAACGAGCCTCCGAACCGCTTCGAGGCTCGGGGCTGGGTCAGTCTGTGGCTGAAAGCTCCTGAGCTGCCTGAGCTCAGTGTAGAGAGGAAGAGAGAGGTTGTCCATGATGCTTTCAGCTTCCCTCTCAGCCTCCACACTCATCATCGTAACCTTTCTGCAAATTGGACCAATCGTTGTTGTTTCCTGTGAGTTTCACTAATCAAATCTCCAATTTCATTGCAAAAAAAAGCCTAAAATCATCACAACACAAACACAAACACACAAACTGCCTGTGAAATCCTGGAGGGTCTGATGGAAACGAAGGAAGATGTCAGAGCAACAGTGGACGAAGAGGAAGAAGATTTATCAGCCTGTGATACAATAACATTGTTAGTGGATACAGTCACTGTTGGTTTGGGGGATTTGTTGAGAATAACAAATGTGGAATATCAGATATATTATTATTCTGTTGGTCAGGAAGAAGCAGAGTTATAAAAAACTTCACCAGCAGCTTCAGTTTTTCTTTCATTGTTGAGTTCAGTGACTTTAAATCAGATATTGTCGGACTGTGTTGGTGAGAATCTGGTGAAAGATGATACAGAGGATTCAGTGATATATATTCTGACTGTTAGTTTCATAGTGTAAAACGTCCTCGTGCTTTATTGTGACAGAAACGTTTCCACAGATGTCTGTTAAACAACGACGTCACAGCTTATTTAAATATTTTGATATGATTTCTATAAAAGTTGGTTGTGACTCTGGTGTAAAGAACAAATCACCAAATGCATAAAGGAAGTTTTTTTTTCAAGTTAAAACCTAAAAATTTTGTGAAAACGGTTGAAATTTTGAGTTTTCTCAACTGTTCATTTTTTTACAGTGCAATGTAGCCGATGGTTAAACTGATCAGATCTTAATCTTAAAGCGGCTCTAATCAATATTTTTGTATTAATGGATCAAATGACTTTGTAATGAGGGATTAAATCTGCAGCTCTGCAGAGTATTTTAGTGTTTTTTAGCTTGTTGTTTTGGTTGTATGATGACTTTACACTGACCGTAGCTGCAGTTCACAGTCCACAACCTCAGTGATCCAGAGTCTTGGTGTTTGATTATGAAAGTAGTTTAAAAACAGACACAGGATAATAATTAACTGCACACTGCTGTTAGAAACTGAGCTGATAATGATCCTGATCAGCCACCATCAGTCATCAATACTCACATTATCATTAATCACACTAATAACTTACAGCAGGCAATGTCAGACAACATTATCAGACTTTAATAGTTAGCTAGTGTTTCTGTAGTGGAGACTAAACGTTAACAATGATCCATATTATCAGTTTGAATTCCACTGGAAGCTCCCTGCACCAAACTCCCTTTAAGAAATATCACATTTTAACAATTCCTAACGTTTCTGTAAAAACACACAACTCTAGAAACACGAGCTAAAGGCCGTCATATGTCCACAGTCCGACTGTCAATACGGCATCAATATAATCAATAAAAATAAAGTGTATTCTGTACAAACTTTACATTTTGTCAGCTCAGCCTCACTGTGGCTGCGCGCTGTCAGGTGGGAGAAGACCGTGAGAATGAGCGGTTTCAGTAATACAGATACGTCACTAAAATAAGTGCTAACACTAACTGCTAACAATGCTAACCTCCACAAGCTGCCGTAGCTAGTTAGCTTTGATATGCTAATGCTAAAAGCTAAAGAAGATGAGAGAGAGAATATTTATATAAAATGTGAACCAATAAAATTATAAATATAATAAAAATGTTGGTGAATAATTGTGTTAATGAATGAAACGCTTCATAATAATTAATTAAAAATATTGTCATAGTAACAAATAATAATATATTTACAACTATTATTTTCCAATTTTAAATATCACCGGAGCTGCCTGGTGATTGGTTGGTGATCAGCCAATCAGGAGCGTCCTACCGGAGCTGTATCCAATCAGAATGGACGCAGCGCTATTTGAAAGCTGCTCGTGTGCGTGTTGTTTACCTGCAGAAGTCGGTGCTCTCGGATCTTGTCGGTGCTCTCGGATCTTGTCGGTGCTCTCGGATCTTGTCGGTGCTCACGGACCTTGTCGGTGCTCTCGGATCTTGTCGGTGGTCACATTGTCCGGTTGCTGCTGGAATAAATCTCCGTGTCGTTGCTTTCAGTCCCGGTTCGTCCTCGTTGCTGCCGCCGTTAAACATGTCGTCAGTGGAATTTCCCGCCGCGGTGAGTAAACTGAACTTATTCCTCCGCTGCTCGTGAGCTACCGTTAGCCTCTGTGCTCCCTGTCGGGCTTTGTGTTCGCGTTGTGTTTTGTTTTAGAGATTTATAACGCAACTTTACGGCAGGCAGCGTTTCTGAAGCTTCTCCGGAGTCGTTGAGTTTTGTGTCCGTGTGTTTGTAGCTGCTTCCCGCCGCAGACAACCCGGTGAAGATGGGTAAAAGCACCGCAGCAGGTCTGAGGAGAGCCGCTCTGGGAGAGATTACCAACTTTCCTGGAGCCGCAGTCAACACAAAGGTAACATTACGGACCCACAGTACAGCTGCTGGGGTTGGGCTCACTCTCATTAACGATGTGAAGCTCAAAGTAACTAAAGACACTGAGACACAAACTGTAGGATGAGCTTAAAGTATATGGACACACTGATCTACAGAGCCACAGTCCTCTGGCCTAAGATGTTCCTTTATTGATCCCTGGAGGGGAAACTCAGATTTGGAACAGGGAATGTAGAGCAAAGAACAAAATGCAATAAAATCTTTCCACTATGTTCAATAAAGGTGAATATAAGCTTGTACCTGTAAGAAAACAGCTCATTTTGGCTGTTAATGGTTATTTAAAGTTTTATTCTGTGAAGTACCAAATGATCCCAGTGCAGTCGCCTTGTGATCAGACAGTTTCTCATTTAGAGACATTAATGTTTAATTTGGACTGAATTCTCAATCTAACAGCTTTACAGCCCAAAACTCTTAAAACTTTATTTCTGATTAAAACTTTGTTCCCTCAGAGGACGGGACGAGCCAAAGCGTCGGCCAAACCGTCCTGTGCCCTAAAAGCTGCGCCCGCTGCGGTCCAGGTGGTGCGTCCAGTAGTCCGGGTTCAAGCTCCTGCAGATCCTCTCCCCCCGGTCTCAGAGGAGTCTGCTGACGTGTCCATGAAGGAGGAAGAGGAACTGTGCCAGGCTTTCTCCGAGGCGCTGCTCACCGTGGAGGACGTGGACGAGCAGGACGCCGACCTGCCGCAGCTCTGCTCGCAATATGTGAAAGATATCTACAGTTACCTCCACGTCCTGGAGGTAGTTGGATCCCTCCGTCAGTCGGACTCTCTGCTCTCTCCCTGCACTGTCTGGTATTCATCGCTCTGTCTCCACAGGTGCAGCAGGCCGTACGAGCCAACTACATGCAGGGTTATGAGATCACCGAGCGCATGCGAGCTCTGCTGATCGACTGGCTGGTCCAGGTTCACTCCAGGTTCCAGCTGCTGCAGGAGACTCTGTACCTCACAGTTGCCGTCCTGGATCGTTTCCTCCAGGTAGGAACCGTCTCTCGGAGCTCGTGTTCTCTCCGTGTTTGTGGGCTGAGTTCAAACCCGTCCTCTGTGCTGCAGGTCCAGCCGGTCTCTCGCAGGAAGCTGCAGCTCGTCGGCGTGACGGCCATGCTGGTGGCCTGTAAATACGAGGAGATGTACGCGCCGGAGGTCGGAGACTTCGCCTACATCACAGACAACGCGTTCACCAAGTCTCAGATTCTGGAGATGGAGCAGGTGGTTCTGAGGACGCTCAACTTTGAGCTCGGACGTCCTCTTCCGTTACACTTCCTCAGACGGGCTTCAAAAGTGGCTAGTGTGAGTTTGCCTTCATGTAGGGACGAGTCGTGTTGAGCCTTATCATTCTATTAACAACGGTGGAAAACTCTGGAGACTGTCAGCAGATTAGACAGTGTTGTGATAAATGTTGAGCTCATCAGGATGTTTTCCTCAGTCTGATGTAGAGAGACACACTCTGGCCAAGTACCTGATGGAGTTGACCCTCATCGACTACCACATGGTTCACTATCGGCCCTCTGAGATCGCCGCTGCCTCCCTTTGTCTCTCCCAGCTGCTGCTCGACGGGCTGCCGTGGGTGAGTTTGACCGGATTCAACCGGCTGGTTTAAAGAATGTAAATCTGCCTCGTTACAGCTTCTTCAGCAGAGTTGAACTGTCTCCTCCTGTCAGTCTCAAACACAGCAGCACTACTCTACTTACGACGAGGCCCACCTGAAGCCCATCATGCAGCACATCGCCAAGAACGTCGTGCTGGTGAACGACGGGAAGACAAAGTTCCAGGTGAGTTATCGACAGAAGACTCAGGAACCTTTTTGTGACTTTGTGTTGAGCAGAAATGAAACCCTCCGTTTCCTCTGCAGGCTATAAAGAACAAGTACTCGAGCAGCAGACTGATG